ATATTTACGCGAACACTACACATTGATTAAAACTACTTTTACGGATTTTATCGCGTTTAATTTTAATTATTTTTATTTTTAGTTCCCGACGTTTCGGGTGCTTTCCAGCACCCATGGTCATGGGGACTGAGGTGACTGACGTACCGATGTCTTTGTTAAATCCGGAGTACCCTCAGCTTTTTTTATTATTGTTTATGGTCCGATCTATGCAAAATGAACTGACTATGTCCCGAGGTCTTGCAGTGGTGTTTAGGCCTTATCGGGACTTTAGAAATAAAATGAGTGGACTGTATTAACAATAGGTTTAATGCCGTAAAACCTCTAAACAAACATATTATAAATTGAAAAATAAAGTGCCCGTCTGCTACCGCGTCTCGCAGCTGAGTGAGGTACAGAAGCGCTCGCGCTGCCGCGAGGTCAGCGACCGGTCCGTGCTCCCACGCGTCCATCATTTTGGTCGAGGCGCGATGACGTGCGCCGACAGTGGTATGCTTGGGTTTAGTTTTAATTTTATCGATTATATGGTCCCAAGCAAGTGGTAGTACCTAGCCTCCTTCTCTATTGAAATTAGGATGTTTTTAATTTTAATAGCCTCACGTATCATCCTTGGTAGGAACCGGTGTTCCCGTTCGTTCAACGTTCCGGGAAGTCTGCATTTTGTGATCATAATATCCTAGACGGCCCCAACCATTACATCAGATTTGATAGACCACAAATCCTCGTGAAAGAACACCGGTTCCTACCAAAGATGATACGTGAGGCTATTGAAATTACCCACCTGCTTGGGACCCTATAATCGATAACATTAAAACTAAACCCAAGCATATCACTGCAAGACCTCAAGACATAGTCAGTTCATTTTGCATAGATCGGACCATAAACACTAATTAAATAATAAATAATAACCATTGAGTTACAATACCTATAGAGTCACAATCTCTAACTGACAATACTCAAGAAATGTCCGAGCGCCGTTCCATATACCTATATATTTTGATATTATATAGTTCAAAATGACATTTGCTCGAATTTAGACGTTAACCTGCTTGTATAATGTTCAAAGTCGCTCGTATGCAATGTCATCATCATTCACTCAAGGGCTTGCGTACGAGCAGGGAACAAGGCATCAGTGGAGACGCTATTTATACTAATATTATTAGGAGTTTATAATAATTGTGAAATATGAGTTTGTGAGTTTATATGTACCTAGGAGAACTAAACAACTGATTTCAAAAATTATTACACCAATTTCTTTTTAATTTACTTATCATATTAAAAAATCTTATAACACATTTTATATGATTTTTTATATGATAAGTAAATGAAAAAAAAATTGGTGTAATAATTAATAGTATTAATAGCACTAGTAAACCACTAAGGTTTGTGAATTAGGTACTAAAATGCTAAGTATTAAAATGTACGTTTTAGTGTGTATGTTTGTATTTTGTTCGTGCTCTAACAGATCGACGGATTCGGATGAAAATGTAAATAGCTTATACCCTAAATTATCACTTATGCTACCTACTTTTTATACCGGGAAACACGGGATCACGCGGGTCACTGATAATTTAAAATAAAACAAAATTAATATTAGGTATAAGCGTTATATTACTTACTTACTTTTAATAACTTACAACTAAAACTTAACCTAACCTAATTACCTTGAAACAATGTTAATTTATTGTAACGTTGCCTTTTACTTTGATTTTTAATTTTTTCAGTACATTTCTTTGCAATGTAATGAATTCTAATGTTTATGTACCGTTCAATGACTGCCCTCATTAAAATGGTTCTATGGTTTGTAAATTCAAATGCATGTTCAATTAGATCTTCCATAACTATTGCACCTACGAATGATTTCAGAACTGCAGAAATAATTTTTTGTGGGTTCAACTTAAGTCCACAACGTTGACATTTAACAACATTGTAATATTAGTACATTAAGTTTAAAATCTGTAAAAATATTTATTGTATCAATCCACTCCATAGAACCGTTAGAACATAATTTGCGAGTCACTCTCGTACGCGTGACTATTTGTTTCTCTTTTACTCTTGCATATTTGTCTAACGTGTGAAAGAGAAACGTTATCGCGGCGCCGCGCGGTCGGCGGTGAGTGTTTTAGTTTGCTAATAAAATGAAAATTATTGAAATTTAAATGAAAACATGCACTGTGGATACATAAATACGTAAATTTGGTATGATACTTACCTAAAATATGAAACACCATCCTTTTTTTCGCACGTGTCTGCTGTTATTTGGGCAGGAAATCACCGAACACTTTGGCATCGCGGACGTTGTACGAGGATTGTGGTCGCCTTACAACTAAACAAAAACTCTGCGCACTTCGCAGCGTGCGCCGAGTTTTGGCGCGGACATTTTATTTGTCTGTTTGTGACTCTATAGGTATTGTAACTCAATGATAATAACCCTTTTTATGCAGTTTTTGTTTAATTAAATATTTAAACTTGGTAACAGAGAGTCCTCGTATATTTCCTGGGACTTTGTCGTCATAGCGTCTACATTGCCCCATGAATGAATTACTGAATCTGTGGAGTCGAGAAACTGGTAGCAACAGCTTGTGCTAGTTCCTCGTGTTAACAGAGTGTATGTCACATTTTTTACTAAAACTACCTTTATTTTTGTGAACATACATCAAATTTTTATAGATATACTGAGAGGCCAAAGTTAATATATTTATATCTTTAAATTTTTCTCTAAGGGACTCTCTTGGTTTAAGGTTGTAAATAGCTCTAATGGCCCTCTTCTGCAAAAAAATTCGGAATACATATAGAAGAAACAGTCCAAAAAGTTAAAGCAGAGTCACAAAATAAGAAGACAAACACAAAATCACAAAATTACGCACAGTAAGCTTGCGCAATGGCGGGATATTGAAATTACATAGTGGTTTTTTCAGCGCGGCTCTATATATGAGTTTATTTGCCTACACAAATTTACGTTGGCAAATTAAAAAAAAACTTGTTTTCTTCATGATTCAAAGGAATTTTAAAAGAAAAAATTAAATTAAACAAATAATACATTAAAAAATTAACGATTCGATTATTTAAATATTTTACCGATTATTTCAATATTTTTGCCTATTATTCGCATAACACTGAATTTTAATCATTCAAATACTACGGTAATGTATATAGCGAAATATCATTGAAACGACGTCAAGTAAAAAAAGTTGATACTGGTTATTTTTTAATATTTTGCTTTGTTTGAAAGATTCAAATTTAAATTAGTGATAAAAACCTATACACGTTGTAATGAAATATAGATAACTTCATAATTCTTCAGATTTGCGTAAAAAGTTATTTCAAATCGTGTGAGTACGCTTGTACAAAGTTATTGCGGAATGATTAATGTGAAACGTCAAAAGGTATTTCTTAGATTTGGTTGACTGGCAGGCAAAAATCCTCGACCATACAGCCCATTCTCGTTTTTGTATTTTGTTCACAAAAATCTTCACAATGTACTAACGCGTCATACTAGGAAGTTCTTAAGAGGATTTTGATGAAAGCTTAATCCAGCGGACTGTTGACTATGATAATATCTCAAGGCCTCTAAGCGGATAACTCACGTAGCCATCATCGGAGCGCTCGTTTCAACTTTACATGCAAGATATTTAATATAAAAAATCGTATGTTGACGTAAGAAGTCTATTCCGATGTCTAAACGGGTTTAAGGGACGATTATAGACATATTATTATCAATCGACGGCTTCGTAGCGCAGTGGCTTAGCAATAAGTTGCAGCACTAAAGGCCGCGGGTTTGAATCCCGCACGTAACAAGTATTTGTATGGACTACAAATAACTGTTCTAGGTCTGGATGTTTGTCCTTGTTAAAGCAGTTTACGTACATAAACTGCCACCACGATACAGGAGAAAAACCTTAGCGTGGAGGTAACCTTTTTTTTAAAAAATCCTTCATTTACCTGCGGGAACCTAAGATATTACAATTAAAGTAAAATATTTAAAATATCTTTGACGGCAATAAGGGACACTAGTGATTTATGACAAACAAACACAATAATGTTGAGTATGTTTTAAATTAACTTTTCAAGATTTCTGTTCTTAAGCTTGTAATATTTATTCTTATCAGGTTAGGACCATATAACCTTACTTTAGACCGTTAAACCCAATGGACGAGTAATCTGCCTAAAGCTACGAACAAAAAGTCTGTCACTTTTGGTGCGGGGGAAACACTACATAGACAATATTGCACACGTACTCAATAAAAATTTATTATGGCACACAGAAATCTAAATCTCCAAAACTATTACATTTTACGCACACATGTCGGTTAAATGATGTATAAACTCAAAAAAGAAGAAATGAAAAGCAATTAAAGGTCTTGGATACATCTGATTACAAAAAAGGGAGGGATTTGGTGCATTTTATACACTTATCAAGAATCAACTGAGGGAAAACGAAGATAAGTTTTACGATTATTTTAGGATTCAGAAAAGCCTTAAACCATTCAACCCATCGGGTTGAATAGTACCTATAAGAGCCTTACATATAGCAGACTGGTTATGGGTTGGGAATTATGAATATAATCACAAACTAATAAGAGTACTAACGTAGAATATAATATATAAAAAAATAGTAGAATAAAATAAATTTATAATTATTATTAAATCTGTATTCATATCAACCATTTGTTTAATAAATCACTAAGAATACATTGAAATATAAATACTGTGATAAATTGTAATGAAGTGAATCGCTTGTCAATCTTTTAGCAAGTTACTCCTGACTTCTGAACGCAGTGACAAATATCCGACTCTAGAGCCACCTATATGCTATTTTTAGTACTAATAAAATTTGTATTCGTAGTGCTGAATGGAAATCACATTTTATCGTGTTTTTAATGAATTATTGCTTCTAAAATCTAATATATCCATTCAAGCTTAGGTGAGAATAATAATTAATTATAGTAGCTTTATTTACGGTGGTAAGTGCTAAAGGCTTAATATGAATTTAGTACCTCATCATGACCCAGAATGTAAGTAATGTCAAAGCCCGGTTTTGCTTGTAATTTGGATTGCATTGCATATAATTATTTTTGGTTTCATTATTCCGATATTATTTTAGTTAACAAATTTATGACTTTTATGCCTTTGTTTGTATGTGCATCACAATGCGGTGTCACCCGGTCTTAGTTACATATCTTATGATAATGCCTAAAAGAATGCTTGGAATTATCTCAATGTTATCTGCTATATTATCGTTGCATCTCTTGTGTTTCATTTTTAAGATGACTTATGATGTTCCAATTTTTCTGCACATATATTATGTTTTGTATTTTGAGAAAGGTTGGTATTCGAAATTCCCTTTGTTAACTTTTAGAATACCATTTAGTTACATGTCGTGGTATTTTTAATTTTTAATCCACACTGTAATCAACACATTAATGTTACATCATTTTCAAGGTTTATTTGTTAAATAGTCAAGTGTTTCAGTATAAGCTGATAACTAGTATATTTTTATAACCTTTCCTGTGTTAAGTTTGATAGTGCTATAATTCATATTTGATATCTAATAGTTAACTGATAAGGTATATAAATTGTTTATAATTAGGTTCACATATTTAAAAGTGAATCCATTAATTTAATGAAAATTTGTTTTTTATCATTGCTATATTGACTTGTAAAATATTATTTCAGAATTTTCATATTTCCTATAATTTCTCATAAGATTTTTGTATTTCTATATACTAAAAGATTGTAAATAAATTATTATTAAAATACCATAATAAAAATTTTATACATAACAATATGTCAAGCAGAATTAATGATATTTTGTTTTAATTGTGAAATTTATTGTTTAGTGCTATACAACAGCACAGTATTATTATTTGAATATATTCTACGTTTTTGTGTATGTTTTTATATGGAAACAATGTTGGCTCAAATTGGAGCCAACAGAATGGAATGTTTGTCCAATATCTGATCTAAATTCAATTCTGCACTTACACATGTACACATATGCTTCATGTGGGATGGTTTCTATAAATAACCACACACTGTTCCCTCTAGAGTGCACAATACTTGAATGTCATATTATCATGTAAATATTGTTTATATTTCTTCATTTAGATATTTAAAGTTTTAATGTTTTGTACAGAAGCTATAAAATACACTTATTGTTCTGTCAGATGATGTCTTGTGCTGTATCACAGTGAAAATGTACATTTCCACAAGTTCAGTGCTTTATTTTTATTGCCCATTGTTGTGATGTTATTATGATGTACATTTTTAAAAGCATTTTTAGTAAGGTATAACCACACTTGAATAACGAGATTTAGTATATAATAATATTGATAAGTATAATTTAGGTTGTATGTAATAGTAATATTGAACATTTTTTATAATTAACTCATATATTAAAATAATCAGGTGGTATGCATATAGTGGTTTTTTAAGTAATTAAGTAAACTCCCACCCCCTACCAAATTCCCCTACCATAATAATTTCTTTAATAAACCATTTAGGGTTTATTAAAGAAATTATCAATGTTTAAGCAATTTAAATTACAAATTCGTATCTAGTCCTTTCAGATGGGTGCTTTATCTCTTTCCACTCCTATTATTTCTATTTCATAATTTTGTAATATTTAACATTAACAGAAATGATTTGTTAGTAAAACATTTACATATTTGATGATATATTATTTTAAAATTATCATGATATATTTTTAAAAATAGCAGTGTTACACAAAATATTGAAAATAAACCAGATTTAATAAGAGTGGGTAGCGTGATCTTTTTAAAGCAAAGGGTTGGCTATATATCCAGTATAGAAATCCGGTACTTAATTTTAATTATGTTTTCAGTTTTGAAGGCTTGTCAGGGTTAAGCTTGAATCTTTTACACTGTTTTGGATGTCGGAAATGCGTTTTGAATTAATTACGATGAAAACAAATTTCACTAAAAATTGCTTATATTAAAACGCAAATGTATCAATTTGTTCTCGTATTATGAAACAGATGTCCGGTACTTGATTTTTTAATTTTGTTTCCAATTTAGGAGGTTTGTCAAGTCTAAGCTTAAACCTTTTATACTGGTTTTGGATTTTGAAAATGCCTTTTGAATTAACTTCGTTAAAAATAAATTTCACTAAAAATTGCACATAACAAAACGAAAATATGTAAATTTGTTTTATTAACACAGATACACTTATAAAAAAGTTAATCCATTTGTGGCTAAAGACGGGACTCATATACAACACCTACCCCTAGAGTGTTTTTGTAAGCTATAGGTGCGGAGGGAGGGCAGGCCTGAGTGATCCGTAGTGGCTGAGGCTGCTAGCCAAAGGTGACTAATGAGCCGAAGCTGCGGAGATGAGCATGGGTGCCTGTGATTTGCTACGCAAAGGCGAAGGGGTTGTACTTTCTGCAGTGCCGAAGCCGTTGCAGAAGTAAATTTGTGTCAATATTCCTATGTGAAAAAGTGAGGTTATGATTTTACAAAAAAAGAACTATGACACAAACTATACATTTCCGCAAACGGTGAAGGCTAGGAGGGGCTTACCCTAAACTCTGCCCTCCCCCCTCCTCCCTCCTACTCCCACCACCATACTCGAGTACCGGATGTCTATAGTTTAACCAAAGCAACCTTAAAGTCTAACCTCTACTCTTGTTGTTCAAGGTAGTACCTTGCAGTACTGTTTAAAAGAATACAATAAGTATTATTAGTTTTATGCTGCTAGTGTAGACTAAATACAGTTATTATATTAAGGTAGGTGGCTGACACTGACAATCAGCCACAAGAATTTATTTTAAAATTTAAATTAATTTTTAACATCTTTAATATAATAGATTTCTGCAAAATAATGCCTGATTCTATTAATTATTAAACACTATATCCATTTTGTTGACTATTTAATTCAGACTGATGATGAGATTGATTTTGAAAACCAGTTGATTGCATATCCAGCATTGCAGTAATCTGTATCAGGGGGCATTTTCGCGCGTTTGGGCGGATTTCATTGCAATAAATTATGTTATTTATATGAATTTATATTTTGAAATCAACATATTATGTATATTAGTTTACTACTAAATTAACTTATCAGTTGCTGTACTGTGCATTGATTATAAGTGACATAACCCATAAAACCAGTTTATTCAAAGGCATTTTTACCTAAAACTATTTAATAATGCTTGAACACATCTATGTACTTGGGTTTTAATGAAAATGAAAGTATTAACTACTACTATACATATTTGTAATGCTGTTTATGTAGTTTTTTGTAAATACTTGTTTTAAATGGTTTTTGTTTAGTGTTTAGAATATTTAATTGTAGGATAAAATAGTTGAAATAGTTTTAATCTAATTTAAAAATTTTATATATATTATACATAATAATATTATCTATCTATTTGATAAATTATAATCGCAAAATGTCGTTCCTACTATAATTGTTGCGTGGATGAATGCTTAATGACCAACAAAAGGTTTCAAATATACTATATAATTAATAATATTTTTCAAGTACAATATAATCACATTTCATTTAGGAATTGTATTTCGGGTTTATTTACACTATCTACCTATTTCTTCCGAGCCAATAAACGGCCGAACAACTTGCATACGTTGGGCGTCACAGAACTCACATATTAGCGAAAATATGGTCAGTCGATCATATTCAGACTAGGTTCCTTACCTAAGTAACTTACTTACCCTTTCGCAGTGTGTTTTTTACTCTTTATTGACAGCCCTTAGTATCCACGGAAAGTCCACCGTGACGTAGGAAGGGGAAAAGATGCAAAGTACAATGGACACTTGCGCGCAGCGACAAAGTTTTATTTAGCTTGTGTGCGCAATTTATCTAGTTAATAATAATTATGTAGGCTATTAAAACGTCGGCAAGCAGTCAACATCATGAGTGTAACTTCTGTATGTAGTACTGTTATTTATTCTATGGGACAGTTTAGAACTTACACTTGTGAAAATCCTTTGAAGTAAGACGATGCCGCCGCCCACGCAGTTATTTACGCCGAAGCGTGTATGCTAGGGGTTGTCACGAAAATGGAAATAAAATAATGTTGGATATTATTATACTCATTATCACTAACATGTACATATTTATAATTTAAAAACATTTATCATGTAAGATCATTTTTATTACTATAAGAAAAAACACATTTACAGGTGTTGCACTGTCACAATATTTTTGTGACATTCTTTTTATAGATGTTCACAGTTTTAGACTGTTAAATTTAAGTATGTAGTGTATTCGTATTAACAATTTTATATAAAAAAAGATAAGTACTATAAAAACTCGCTCGCGCCAACCGCATGTATTGTCTATCAGTATCAGTGAAGTAAGCTAGCACTAGGTTGGCCCGCCCCTGCCCCGCAGTGCTGCTACTGTTGCTCTGCACAAATACATTCGTTTCCTAATTGTAAGGTCTTTAAACTATGCTTTTAGTTTTGTTTTACCATAGCTTGAGAATGTTTTGTATTAAAATAATTATTTGAATCTTGTGTATTTAAACTTAGTTTGGTATTAATCTAAAAATTCAATTTATTAGTTAATTGGTTAGAAAATAATTGCTGCTTTTCAATAGTCATACATTATCGAAAATAAAAAATCAATAAATTAATTATTGAACACTACATTGAGTGTATTTGGACTTAGATAAATGACTATAAATAAATCGAAAATAGCATCTAAGTAAACTTATTTCAGGGAAAGCTAACAATGGTTAAGGCTTAAGAGACTCCAATATAAGTTATTGCAAAATTGGCTTGAAAATTGTGTCAAAAGTTTAAATTTTTTTGTGTAATTTGTCTTAATTTTCTTTTATAAAAAAGTATTAAACATATTACACAAACTTGTGTATGCACTTCCCACCAAGCCATGTAATTTTCAATGATGTAATGTGAAGAAAATTTAGCTTATACTAATTGCCTTATTTGTTTTGAGCCTATTTATGTCTTTATTAATAAAATATATTTTTTTGTTGAGACTTAATGATCAAATCTTTTAGTGCCATGCAATACTCAAAGAATGCACTTTACATTTTATAACATATATTTAGAAATTGCTTCAGATCAGAATGGACTCTACTTTGGAAAAATATTAATATGGAGATATATCTTTGTTCCAATTAAATAGTAAATTTGTAATTTTTATGTTATAATAGTGTTGCTGGCGAGTTGGCGAGATGCACACAGCCAGCACTGAGGGACAGTACCGCGGTACCAATGGATCTACTCATGGTAGAGATAAAGTCGCGATATTGGATGCAGGCTCACAATATGGGAAGGTTTGTATCCATTTTAATAATTTTATCAATATTTATATGCAATAACAATACAAAATTTCTCTAAATTTATCATCATTACCTTCCTCGTCATCATCTTTCCTATGTATTGCCACAATCTACCTGCATGTTTCATTGGGTTGTAGTATTATCCTTCTAGTGGATGGTAAAACATTGTACCTGTGAGAGTACAAGGTTGCCACTTGTGAACCTTTCTTCCCTATTGTTTGTAAGCTCTTTGTGCTAATAGCCAGCCAGTTTCCACTTCAGCTTTTTGATCTGTTCAGTTATGTCAGTAACAGTGTTTATTCTATGATACATTTCATCACAGTTATCTGAGCTGATTTCATTATTAGTCCAAAAAATCTCCAATTCGATCTCTGTCACTAAATTGTTAATCGCTATTTTAAATGCCGCCGAGACTGTGGTAAATTATATATTTGCATGTCTATAGAGTATAAACACTGATGCACTAGTGAAGGAACAGACTATCCCATCAGATATAGAGATATATACGCCGGACTGTGTACTGTACCAAGGCCGGCGAGGGTAGCAACATCCAAGGTGCTAGACGTCTAGTACTTCGATCGTCAATCTGCCTGCCAAATGTGATAATTAAGGATAATTTTCCCTCTAACTGGAGAGCAGCCTTAGAGGCTATGCGGAAACAGCCCATCGTAAACAATTCACCTTAACGTTTAGTTTTCACCAATGGGCAAATCGATCAAGCATTTTATTATTTTTAGTTTACTTGGAACTAGTTTAAGTTTTTTAGGTTACTTTGTGAATAACTATTATTGGTTTTTTCATGTTTAGTAATATAAGTAAAAATGTTGTTATCATGAATAAAATAAATATATTATTTTATTATATTATATTTAATATTATATAATATAATATATTGTATATAGATTATCGTGTTACGTAATTATTCCTTAGTTTTAATCAGCTTATCATGTCACTACCACATACTATTTTGTAGGCAGCAATAACAACAACACCAATAATTAACATTATCTAAGATTCATTTCACACACATAAACAACTTTATACTTAAGTAAAACTTAGCCTAACTAAGCCTATCGCGAGCTATTTATATTACGATATACATAATATCCACTCACCCATATCATCCTGTGGCTCTCGTAAGAGATTACATAGGGATACAGATCAGGAAATGGGCAGCAGCATCTTCCTAATAACGACTATAAGTAAAAAACTGCGGTTGCCCACCTGCTTTCAAGCGTGTCAACTATGGCAAAGGCCTATGTTCAGCAGTGGACTTAAATAGCCTATAACGGTAATGGTAGGGGAAAGATTTGCCTTATTCGTCACTCTTGGCAAACTGTTTGATGATCACAGTACTAGACGTTTCGCGCCATTAATGCTGCTTTCCGTCGCCAGTTTGAGTATTTTACGCCTGGCGTTAACGAGATTATTACGCCTCCATCTATCGGAAGTCGTAAGACTGTTTCTGGCATTTCCTATACTCAACTCTTATGACAGTCGCTGCATGAAGCATAATGAATTCCCTTACTCCGCCAACACTTTCATTTCATTAATACATTATACATTGTATGCTATTGTTCTCAGGTGATAGACCGTAGGGTACGCGAGCTATGTGTGGAATCGGATATACTGCCTTTGGATACTCCTGCGTACCATCTCAAGGAAGCGGGGTACCGGGCTATCATTATATCAGGTGGACCGAACTCGGTATATGCTGAAGACGCACCGAGATATGATGCTGACATATTCAAGATAGGGCTGCCAGTTCTAGGTAAGAATAATTTATCATAACCTAGATTTGTGCAAACCAGTTCCAGATTCGACAACTTAGAGAAAGCTAATTGAAATACTTTAGTAAACCAGCGCACTGTGTTGCCATTGCAATAGTCACACTAATGCTTGTAGTTGCGCTGACTTATGCATATAGTGATTCTTCAAGTGAATGGGCACATTAGAATATCAAAAATATTGTCTTCATTGTCAAAAACTTTTTTAAAGTACTTAAATATAAATTAATGTCATAGACCCCATAATTACAACATTTTATAAATAATTGATCATAATCATCATCAGCCATCATAACAAAGGCTTCCCCTAAGAAATGCCTCAAATCATGGTCCTGATGGTAGATACCACCAGCATCCATCGACGTCCTGCATTTCTTACAGAACTTCACTCCATCTAGTGCCACCCTACACTTGCTTTCTTATTAAGGTTATCGGTTCTCCGAGTATAGCCCTCATATGACTAGCAGTAAAGAACCATGTCTCAGATCTTTATGTCATCAATGGCAACAGCATAGGTTATACACTGATGTTTCCATGTTTTGAGGTATACATGACACAATGAGTCTTAATTTCTCGAATGCTAGCCAGTTTAAGTTATTGATGACTACAAATTCACCCCCCTTCTAAATAAAGAGACAATCGTATCACTAAGCACTTGACAACTAACACCTACTTCAGGATGCCACAATGAATGGTTTGAGTTTGGCTACTCACCAAGCATGGCGTCAAGCAACTGCCTCTTACTACTACTTGAGCCCCTTTGTTTATTTTTTTATTCGTCTTATAAAATGGCAGGAGGTCCTTCACAAATCTACATAGGCGTCTCCCAAGGCATGCTGCGCCTATCGACTTCCTGCATGTCTTACCAGGTCAGCACTCCATCTAGTAAGGGGCTACCCTACACTTCATTTACCGATACGAGGCTGCTACTCGAGAACCTATGTACATAAGATTATTTATATATTATATGATATTAGTACAATTTTTTTACATATTTCTTCAGGTATATGCTACGGTATGCAAATGTTGAATAAAGAGTTCGGCGGTTCAGTTTTGCGGAAGGAGGCCCGTGAAGATGGACAGTATGAAGTCGAAGTCGAGACCACATGCCCGTTGTTCAAGTAAGTTGAATGGTCAATAAAGTAGCAATCTACAATAGAAAGAAAATTAAGATATATAAAAGAACATATTATATTTGTTCACAGCTTGTTATTGTCTACTGTTGTATGTGGACTTTTCCTTTTATTTAAGATTTTCCTTAATCATCTTACTTGACATATAAATTGGCCATCACATTCACAATACACCTTGCACCTTTGACACTACTGGTCTGGGTATTTTATCTCTGGCATAACTGTTATGTTATGGTATTATACCCATCTATGTGAACTGTTTAGAACTTTCTGGCCACTAATAGCTGTCTCTAATGGCATCCATGGAACAAATGAGATGATGGTTTTTTACAAGCCCTCACCACACCATGGCAATACATTAATTTATTAATATATCTCACATCCTTTTTATCCCAGCATGATTTTTATTCTACAAACATAGCCATAGCTTCCTTTCTGCATAGGAGCTTTTCTTAAAATTTTCCCTGTCTGCAAAACAGACTCAACAGTAGGGTGGAGCGAAAAAATTTTTTTTTCGTAATTGTTTTGTAATACCTGTAAAAAAGTTGCTCTTATAGCTTACAAATATTCTCACAAAATTTTGGTTGACATATGATATATTTGGAGGTGCCCCCAACATCATGAACTTTAGAGAAATTCACGAAATTTTGTCAAAACACACGAATGTCTAATTAACGCTAAGTCATATTGAGAGTGTCACCCTGTTGGTACAAGACATTCAATTTTGACCTTGAAATGTGTGCGGTGAGGAGCGGGGGTTGTGGGGCACGGGGGGAGGTGAATACACTACTCTCGTCAAACGTCGTTCGAATGCCTTTTAGTGCACCCGCGCGCGCGATTTAATACTATTACACTTGTGAAAAGCATTGATTTTAACGACTTAAATCAAGAAGTAAGACTCATGTAAGTAGTATTTTCAATTTCCTGCTCATAGTTAATGCAATTTAGATCAAAATTGATTGAATTCATACCTATTATTTCTCTTTATTACAGTCAAATATCGCAAGTAAAAACACGACAAAAGACATCCTGTCCTGTGTTTGGTTTACCAGAGAAGTTACCCGTAGCTCAATTACCAACTTATAATGATGTAATGAAAAATTATTTATTCATTAAATATGAATTAAAGCCTGACAAAAAAACAAAAGAGCCGACAATTCATGACATATCCGAAAGATTGGCTCAGGAAGTTTTAGAAATTTGGCGAAAAGCGTCGCTGCCAACAGTCAGTCTTAAGAGAGTATTACAACTTATTCGATCCTACCATGACAAATATAGAAGCTTAATGAAACCTTATCGAGGCCGTCAATTAAACAAAAAATATCAAGAGAAGATAAATACATTCATAACTGAGTCTCATAGATTATTTGATGTTTGCAGTTGCAAATGCAAACTTATTTCAGATTGCACTTGTTCAAAAGACAGTCGTGTTCCCAAGGAAGAAATAAAATTTTTACTCGACCAAAGGACAACAAGAAAAATGATGATAGGTGGTGTAGATTTGGTTACAACTGTAAAAAATAAGAGAAAACTAGAAAGACAAGAAAAAAGTTTATTGCGTAACAAAGAGATATTTGATCCCAACAAACCGTGTTGTTCTCGTTCGTTGCCTGATGATGATGACTTGACGATCGAAAGCACCAGTTCAAGCAATAGCGTAGCTTCTAGTCCTTATCAATCGCCAAAACACGTAGCGAGACTACCAAAAACCCCACCACCACCAAAAAAAAGAAGTTAAATTTATCATCATTAGCCCTCGCTTGCGATCGTACTGGAGTCTCCGACAGAGCCGCTGCTATTATAGCTTCTTCTGTGTTAAAAGATGTTGGCATTATTTCAACGAAGGATCCAAGCGGTGTCATTGATCGTTCTAAGTTGCGTCGTGAAAGAACTAAAGTCAGATCATCTTTACAAGACGCAGATCGTAATAAAATCATACGCGGTATTTATTTTGATGGCAGAAAGGATAAGAGTTTAGTAAGTATTAAGAAGGAAGGCAAATTTTACAGAAAAAGAGTAACAGAAGACCATTATGTGATTTTATCGGAGCCAGGAAGTGATTATTTCGGGCATGTTACGTGTGAGTTGGGAACCGCTAAAGGTATTCAAAGTACAATTATACGTCACCTGAAAATGAAATCGGTGGATCTGAATAAAATAGCTGTTGTTGGTTGCGATGGAACTGTCGTGAACACAGGTTCCAAAGGTGGTGTTGTTCGTTTGATGGAAGAAGAACTTAAGAAACCATTACAGTGGTTTATCTGCCAATTGCATTCAAATGAGTTACCACTGCGACATCTGTTATTACATTTGGATGGAAAAACCACAGGGCCTAAATGCTTTTCAGGTCCTATCGGCTCTGAATTACAAAAATGTGAAACAATGCCAATTGTCGAATTTACCGTCATTCCTTCAACATTACCTGAAATTCCTAGAAATGATTTGAGCACCGACCAAAAATATCTTTATGATGTGATGAACGCTATCAGCACTGGCGTCTTTACTTCCGATTTGGCTAATATCGAACCTGGACCCCTTAGCCATTCTAGATGGCTTACAACAGCAAATCGAATTCTAAGATTATATGCTACTAAAACAGACCCCATAGAAAACTTAATGATATTAGCCACATACGTGATGAAAGTTTATGGTCCGATGTGGTTCACTATAAAGTGTAATCCATCATGCATAAATGGAGCTAAGCACCTGTGGCAAACGATTAGCCTGACTCGCTATTTGAGCGCGGATTTGAAGATAGTCATTGATAAGGTACTCATACGAAATTGATATTTCGGGCACCCAGAAAATATTCTTATTGCTATGCTTGGAGATGACAGAGAAATCATTCGAGAACTAGCATGTCAACAAATTTTGAAAGCTAGAACAGAGAATGATCAAGGACTTCGAACGTTCAAAGTGCCTCCTTTAAATTTCGATGCTGAAGATTATACCGACCTCATGAAGTGGCAAGACTGTAAAATAACTGAGCCACCTCTGACTTACAATTTATCTGATGAATTCTTGAAAGAGATTGTCAAATGCGGTTTGAGAACATGTCAGAGTATAAAAGATTTCCCATGCCACACCCAAGCCGTAGAGCGCTGCATAAAATTGGTGACTGAAGCTTCAAGTGCAGTTTGTGGAGAAAATAAACGAGACGGTTCCATAAGGGCACGATTATTATCACGTCAGCAAATGCCAAATTTTGATACAAAAAAACAATTTAATATTTAATTACTGTGTTTCTGAACGATATCCAAATCTATCATAATTACTTAGTTTTACCTTATTTTTTTAATATATGTATTTTTTATATTTAACCAGACTTTATTTAACCGATTCCTAAGCTGTTACTCTGTTGATGGTGTCTACTACACTAACACATAGGTATATATAGAGTAGTGTAAGGAACTTTGTTCCCGCCTGGTGTGCTACGACATTCATCGCTTTTTTCAAATTTTCAATTGTGTTGGGGCACCTCAAGACATCATGATAAGTAAATAATATTTTGTATGTAGGATTTACTCAATGAAAGGCAAATTTTTATCGCTATGCAATCAAAAAAAAAAAACAAAAAAAAAAATTTCTTACATTATCACTCCACCCTACTCAACAGTTAAACAATTTAAATGTTCATATATGATTCATGAGACAGGAAATGGGTCAGCTTGACCCGGGAAGGACCACACTCTCTCTCACAGAATACCAGCTTGAAATAGTAGCTTAATGCTGCTGTGTTTCGTATGGTGCGTGTAGAGAACTGGGAGACCCTTTTTACTAGAAATGAGGTATTCCATCTTAGTCCTCAGGGGTGACAACGCATCCGCATTTTGATTTGTAATCGAGGATAGATGTAGATGTCTATGGGCAACAGCAACCACTTAACATCAGGTTGACTGTGTGCTCGTGTGTCACCCTATCCTATATTTAAAAAAAATAGGTTACGTATTTTTGTCGCCCAGTTTTCTGTGGCCTTCTGTACTTGGATTTACTATATACTAATAGGCTACAGTAATCACCTTCAGTTGGACTGTTTCCAATTCCAATCATCAACATAGACCTCTCTCAGAGCATTTCCCTTAATCGTCATGCTCCGGATTGACGATAGCAGTACCAGACGTTTCGCAGCTTTGACGCTGCTTTCCGTCGCCGCACGTTTTTACGCCTTGCGGAAATATACCGCCAACTACCGAAAAACATATATGTTTTTGGCATATTTTATTGTCACCTCTTATGACATCTTCAGGTTTTGACTCAAATATTGTAAAACAATTGTGGGCCTTGGCTTGAAAAGCTCTAACGTATGGTAATGCTTTTGTGTCCGTGCAGCCGGCTGGAGAAGTTGCAGCCAGTGCTGCTGACCCACGGTGACAGTGTTCAGAAGGTGGGCGACCGCTTCCGCGTCGCTGCACACTCTTCCAACCATCTCATCGCCGCCATCTACAACGAGCAGATGCGCCTCTACGGAGTGCAGTTCCATCCCGAGGTTAGTGTCAGTTTGCACTGAATATTTTTTTTCAATTACGTCTACACCGAATTCTGGTCACGGCAGCCAGTCTCAAGGGAGACTAGGGCGATTGCTTAAGACAGGATTATAGTGCACGAGTGTAAAAGTACCGGTGCATTCTTCATTTACTCGCTCTCACAGTCCGATGGGGCGTCAATGACGATCAGGCGCAGGACCAATCAAATTAAGTGCTTTCAGGGGCCTGAGTCCGATGAAGCTATAAAAGCCAATTAGCTAACAGCGCTAACATCACAGAAACTAGAAGGCATGGAAGTGAAACACCGCCATTTTCCTCTTTCCGAGCGAGTAATTCTCAGTAGCATACTTTTGACAAAATGACTCAATAACTGATATTGACCAGATCTGGGATTCGACCCTGGGATCATATGAACAGTAGTAATATATATGGGGAACCATAGGGAAGTAGTGAGAACCGGAAACCATTTTTATGGATTTCATGTTATTAGACACGGTACTTCTGTCTTAGACCATAAAGGCGATGATTCTTAGGTGCCTATATTTAGCAAGCCTGGTCAGTAGATAACACAGCACCGACATTCACACTGGTGATGCTACCCATACTCATTACTATGATACTCATATTTGACTTTGGCGTTTTTATAAAGATGTTACCCCAAGCATGTAATGTAACCTGTCAGTAAGAAACAAAACAAAAATGAAAATAAAAACAGTAGAAGAAATTACTTGCGAATATGAGTAGTATAGAATATGAGTAGTATAGCTTCTTGTGGTTAAATAAACATCCTATTTGTATATTTCTAAATAATAAAATTATAATTTAACTTAAAATTTAAACCCAAGCCATTGAGGCACTACTAAAGTAGCAAATTCGAGTAAAATGACATAGTAACCTCTTAATAATTGTGTGAACTACCCGATACAGGTGGATCTAACGCCCAAAGGCAAGCAGATGCTGTCGAACTTCCTGTTTGATATAGCGGGACTAACGCGCACGTTTACGTTACGTTCTCGTCGCGAGGCTTGCGTGCAGTACATACGCGATACCGTCGGAGATAATAAAGTACTGGTGAGTGGTAGAATATAAATCTTGTTTTATTTTTATCTTTTATATTCAGGGTTACAGGCTAAGTCGACATAGATCCTTTAGGGGGTTGTAGTTTCCTTCATTACCAACTAATTTGACTACGAATCACCATACCCCAAACTTAACCGTTTTCAAGATGTTGGATATTTAGTTTTTTTTTTTATAAAAATTGCCAATTTTTTGTCTATTGTACAAAATTTTTTGTAATTTGTGCATCTTGTTTTTTTTAACGATTTTTGTGTAGTAGAAAATAAAAAAAATGGCAGTTATGTAAATTTCTATGTTTCTTCAACTATCCAACAAGTTATAACAGTCTACGGTATTATTAGAATTCCTAGAAAAAATTTGATGAAAAGCTCACAGGTAGTAGAAAAAATAACGGTGCTATGTGTTCAACAAGCTATTTTGGTGTTTTTGTGTTTAGTTTATTAGTTTGGTTACATGATTCGTACGAGGTTGATGGGATACTCAGTGCTTTCTATTTCTTACTCGACTTGGCTTGTATTTCTGGACTGTTTTTCTTTCAATTCGTGACTGTGCTCGCTAACTGTGCTTCTGATATTTAGCCATTGAAGATGATTACATTTACGAACGAGAAATATGCTGATATTTTGATTTGCTACGGATATTGCAATTGTGTATCTGCACGAGCTTGAGATGTAACCCTGTATAAACAGGTTTTTTTTTACTATAACTTTAGGAATATGTAACATGGTTTAAATAAGGTTAAATTAATATGGTGTTTAAATTTTTAATTAAAATATTTAAATTTCAACTAAAAACAATCCAATTTCAACTAAAAACAATCCAATTACAACATGAAAATAATAATAACGTAACATAGCTTGGGGTGGGGGTGACTAGTTTTAAAAACCTCTTACCAGTAAATGCAAAATGGACCATAATCAATGAAGCAATGGACTTAACATGTGCTATATTCGCCAAGTGTTGGAAAAAGACTCAAGACAGACTCAGTGTTGTCACCACAATTATGGAAGGAAACATATTTGATAAAAGTTCCATTTTGTACACCAGGTACTGGTGAGTGGGGGTGTAGACTCTACAGTGTGTGCGGCTTTGCTAAGGACAGCACTTCGCGAGGACCAAGTCATTGCATTGCACATTGATAATGGGGAGTGATATAATATTAAATTAAGGCTTGTTACAGGTCAAAATTATTTAAGATAATTTTTTTTATATATTACTAGCTGGTACCCAGCACATTGCTGCCACAGAATAAATAATTGAGGAAATATCATTTTAAATTTTAAATATACTCATTGAAATTGAATGATATATAATTTTCTGAATAATTTGTCGTTACGATACGCTCGCCACCTACTGTAAGTTAATTGTGCTATGTCTGTAACCTTCGCGCAAGTGCAAGCAATAAGTTGACAAAGTTTTAGCGCAATCTCATAAACAGTATGGCAGCTCATGAAACACGAACAAACAAACATAATTTTTTTTATATTAGATTATTGTCTTCATAGAAATATGATGTCAATATCTCTCATCACACTCGATAGTTGTTAGTCAAATTTATATAAAGGATGATAGTGTAAACACCGTTATCCTTGAAACCAGTGGTTTGGTTTCACTTATAGAACATAAATTCAATGAAAAATAACAACATTTTTTTAGTGAAATCTCATTTTTTCCTTAATTCCCAATTTAGCCAGGATGAAAGTATGAAGGAAAGTTACATCACAGGTTATGTGTACCTATTGTGTTTTTATTGGAATGTTGTGTAGGTAGCTAGCGCGGGCGGTGATCTTTACAGTGATTACGTCACTCGGGCGCATAGGGTATCCATGAATTTATGGACGGTGTCGGACAGAAACTTTAAATTTTATGAAAGAAAATAGCGTTTTTTTTTAAATTCGGATAAATATTTTTATATTAAAACTTATGATTTTAGTGGCAACGGTGTTTACACTTACACCTTGTATATTATTGGTATGATCATAGAATCTTCATATACACTTAAGATGGACGATGATATATTTGTTTATACAGCTGATTTTGGTCATCATTATCATTATTGGTTTACTAAAAATGAAAACTGACACAGAACAGTCGGACTTAGGGTAAGGCAGCAATCAGAACAGTTATTTCGCAATACTTTACTTTAAGGATTATGAGTAGAAGATACAAATTTTTTCTATTTCCAAATAGATGAACATATTTCCAATTATGTTTTCAACAAAAGTGGCAAGCGTGGCAACTATGGAAAATATTCCCCCTATTAGCCAAAGTATGCAGGAGGCCTATGAAAATGAATTCACTTGATTACTACTTTGCTTAGTATACAAGCACCTCCCACGTTTTAAATTTTACATGTCTTTCAAATGTCCTTGTGTGATGTATGAAAGCAATTAATCTTATAATATTTATAGTTTAACTATTTTTATTATATTTATATTTGTATAGAATAAAATATGTATTTATGAATCAAATGGTAAACTAGGAAATTAGGTAAACACTAAGAACAAACACAAGCTGGTGATACCAGTTTCTCAATTCCATGGAGTCATTAATTCATTGTTGGGGCATTGTATAAGCTATTACAACAAAGTCCCAGAAAATATACAAGGTCTTTCTGTTACCAAGTTCTAATATTTTACTAAACAAAAACTGAATAAAATAAATTTTGTAAATAGTTTTTACAACCTTTCATATTGTATAATTTTCTTAAAAAAAGTTCCTCTGGGCTTCTTGCTGGTTGTTCCTAGGATAAAGGGTTTTTAGAACCAGTGGTAAAGTAAAAAATGACTTTCAATAAGAATTACATGTAATTTATATTGAATAAATAATGATTCTATTCTACTAATTGGGATTTAGAATTATTTATTGATGTTTGCAGGCTTCATGCGCAAGAATGAAAGTGCAAAGGTGGAACGATCTCTACGTGAATTAGGCGTGCGTCTACACGTCGTCAATGCAGCTCATCAGGTATTCATTTTAAATTTGTGTATTTAACAATAAACTCGGAATAATTATGGATAGATACATAAAAATTTAACACTAATATTATTGTTGCTAACAGTACGTTTGCACTGAGAAACATCCAACACGTAATGTTTTGAAACAAATCGCATAATATAAATCAAACAACAAGTTTTGTTGATGGTGGCGTTCGCACTCACAAAAACTGTTAAAATTTTCAACAGATATTTAAACTTATCTTTCAACATGACAATATTTCTACAAATTTGTTTTCAAACATTTTGTTTCTGTAGTTATAAAGATATAATAAAGTTAATATGTAATGTACAATAAACTGTCAAACATATTTCACTACAACAAGTTCTTTGACTATGCAAACGCTTTATGATACATTGATAGAAAACACTGTTTAAAACATGTTTTTTTTGTGAAAATCGCGTCAGTGCAAACTCACGGTAAGTTGTAAGTAAAAGTTGTGCAAATAACAAATATTGGTGATTCGTACTTACTAGGTAACATGAGTAAATTTTTTTAATGATACTAAAGTATATATTAAAATAAATATAAAATATAAGTATATATGATGATAAAGTATATATTAAAATAGGATGTTCTAAAATTACTAAAAGTGCGCTGTTATGCTGCCTTTATCACAAATCCAGCTAACAAATTTAACAAACGTACCAAACGTAAAAAATAGAAAAAAGTCGATTCAGTTTTAAGAAGAGGAAAAAGCTGAATATGGGATGAATAATTCGTCAATTTTTAAATAAGTTTAATAAGTCCGAGTGGGTTGTCTATCTCTCGGTTGTTTAGTACGATCGTTTGGGTAGAGCGCGTCAGCAATTAGAACTTTAAAAATATTAGGTAGTAGACCTATGCTGTAGTTCAGAGGTGGACCATGCTCTTACAGAATACCAATGTAAAATAACAGCTTAATTGTTTCTATGTTTCATATAGTAAGTGCAGAGAACCGGAGACCCTTTTCACTGAAAAGGAATTAGGCATCTCATCTTAGTCCTAAGGGGTGACAATGCATCTTCATTTAGATGCAACCCATCTAATTATTACGATTTAGAATCGTTTAGCAGGAATTTGGGGGAGTAAGGTGTTTTATTTGGTAGAGGTTTAGTCCCCGATTATAATAATACCACTCACATTAAAAAGTAATGCACCGTTATCGAAAGAATGAATAAAAACTATTATAACCTAAATGCGTAAAGTATGGAAAATGATACATTTTTTATTATTAACTGACTTTACGGCTCTGGGTTCTAACCTTTCTGAGAAAAAATTATACGATATTACTGTGAAGGCTGGATAGCATACAGAATTTTGTGGCTGTGGCGGGAGCAAAGGCAACCTGAGTTTATAGATATCTCTAGACTCCGCCATTCCCTTCGTGGTTATTTTTTTTGTAAACCACTGAAGTAGGAGCCCCCGTAGGGGCTCCGTCGACTGGGCTTCCCTCGACTGCCCTACGTGGTGCTTCCCTCCCCCAACTCTCTCCCCCCATAAATCAGGTTTATAGTCAAAAACATTACAAAAACATAACCTCTAAATTAGATTTTTTTAAAATTTATTAAAAAAAAACTAAGCATGTCCGGCAAGATGTGGAAGGGAGAGGCCGACTCTACAACTCCCTCGCCTCCCTCTCCACCACCTCCCACCCTCATAATTCATTTTGAGTTATCATTTTGAGGTTAGTTCTATGAGATTTTCTGTTTGATTTTTCTTAAGAACGGTGCGTTATCTTTTAATGTGAGCGGTATTATTATAATCTGAGACCAAACCCCTACCAAATAAAACACTGCCAAATTCCTGCCAAACGATTCTAAATTTCAACCAATTTGATTCTTAATTGAGGATCGATGTAGATGTCTATGGACAAAAGCATCCACTTAACATCAGATGGACTGTGTGCTCATTTGACACCACCCAACTGTCACATCAGTCACTAAAAAGGGTAGGCAGACACTATGGACTTCCATTTAGCATGATCCTGATACACCTATCTCAAGCTCAATATTAGTTAGCATTCTGGACTTGACACCTCATTTTCTAGTTAGGTTTGATTTTAAATGATTATCAACAAAATTTCTATAACGCTAATATTAAAACAAGGATCGTCAATAATATGGTAGTAGACACTTATGTCATGTTAGCATCACAATTACGGCAACATTTTTACGTGTTATGTCAGAAAAGTAACTTAGACAAGATTTTTAATAGGTATAATAATTGTGTCTCTATGTTGTCTAGTTCGATTGTTCGATTGTTCAGGCACAGCTCAATAACAATAAATCTTTAAAAACCTATTTTATTAATTTCTTGCAGCCTTGATATTCTCTGAAAAATATTTAATTTCGAAATTGAAAAAAAATCCCATAGTGAAAATAAAAAGCATCCACGGACAAAACTAATATTAAAAAAAGTAATAAAAAACATAAAACTCTTCGCAATAGTTGTTATAATGCATATCTGCATATCTGCCCCCTGATCTAATGAAGACCATAGTAGTACCGGTGGGAAAAAATAAAACGGGTGATTTTTTTTTTTTATAGAATAGGGTGACAAACGAGCACGCAGTCCACCTGATGGTAAGTGGTTGCTGCGGCCCAGAGACATGTACATCTATCCTCCATTAAAAATCAAAATGCAGATGCGTTGTCACCCGTGAGTACTGAGATGGAATGCCTCGTTTCCAGTAAAAAGGGTCTCCGGTTCTCTACACTCACCATACGAAATACAGCAGCATTAAGCTACTATTTCACGCTGGTATTCTGTGAGAGCGTGGTCCTTCCCCGGTCGAGCAGACCCATTCGTGCTACAACTATACTACTAATATAACTGCAGCATGGCTCTACCACGTAAGTATGGACTTGTTGGATAAATGTAATTATAGACCAATATCCTTGGCAACCATCATAGCAAAGATATTGGACAGTGTTCTTAATACGGATTTCGTACCGGACTGTCCACAGAAAGTGCGATACTTTGCCTTAAGCACACTGTCAAATATTATGTTGATAGGAAAACACCTGTCTACGCTTGTTTCCTTGACCTGTCGAGGGCATTTGATCTGGTCTCCTACAATATACTATGGAAAAAATGAGAGGATATTAAATTGCCAGGTCAACTGATACAGATTTTAAAATATTGGTATGGGGGACAGGTCAATTGCGTTAGATGGGCTAATGTTTTATCTGAACCATACCGGTTGGAGTGCGGGGTGAGACAGGGTGGGCTAAGCTCACCTAGTCTCTTTAACCTCTATGTAAATGGACTTATTGAGGCGCTTAGCAGCATGCACCTTGGATGTCATATAGATGGAATTTGTGTAAATAACTTGAGTTACGCTGATGACGTGGTGAGTGCATCAATATGTGGATTAAGAAAATTGCTTAGTGTTTGTGATACATTCGCAGCCGAACATGGGCTAAATACAATGCACAAAAAAGTCAGTATATGATCTTTGGGGCCGGACGGGATCGTACGCAAAATGTGCCTCCTATTAAATTGAGTGGCACACCGTTAACTAGGGTTGACTCTTTCAAATATTTGGGTCATATGGTTACGTCCGACCTCAAGGACTCTACTGACATAGAAAGGGAACGTAGGGCTCTATCGGTTCGTGCAAATATGATTGCTCGTAGGTTCGCGAGATGTTCAAGGGAGGTTAAACTCACTTTATTTAGAGCGTTTTGTACACATCTTTACACGTGCAGCCTGTGGAGGGACTAAACGCAACGGGCCTATGGGGCTCTCCGTATCCAATATAACAACGCGTTCCGGGTGCTGATGGGGCTGTCCCGACGCTGCAGCGCATCAGCGATGTTTGCTCAAGCACATGTAGATTGTTTTTACGCAACTTTGCGTAAAAGAGCTGCATCGCTGGTGCGTAGGGTAAGGGCCAGCCCCAATGGCATTCTTAAAATGATAGGTGACAAAGTGAACTGTCCCTATCTGCAACATTGTTGTGGACTGCATATGCCCAGCAGCTAATTTGACTGTTGTTTATGTGCATTACAGCATTTAGTAATAATTAATAGTTTTAATATATTTGTCTCATCATATTTTGTTAGATTATTTGATTTTAATGTAAAATAATAATAAAATGAGTCCTGGATACTTACTTGAAATTAAATAAATAATAATAATTATAACACAACTTGAACTGTATTAAAATTTTACGCGATCGCAAGTGCCGAAACGAAGTCTATCAACTGTTTGTTTGTATCTATTTATTAATTATAATAAGTACAATAATTTGCATACACAACGAGTCTTGCATCTTTTCAGATGATAAACTAAAATGGACGTTATTGCATTGATTTAACTAAGGACTATTCTTTCACGTCTCACTAATTCTCTCGTTCACTCGCTTTCGTATGTTCTCGTTTGCACTTCTTCGGCGTTTTGCGAATGTAGTTTTACAAAAAAAGCTATTAGACCGATTAACAATCAGCGATCGGAAACGTTGCTTCTGATACGTTTCCAATTCGTTCGTTGTTCGCGAACTACACAAGGCTAAACGCTAATTCTATATAAAACTTATTCTTGAAATTCCTTGCAGCCTAGATATCCTCTGAAAGATATTTTACTTTAAAATCATGTTCATATACCAGGTTACGTCAGGACAGGATGGCCCGCTTATAACCCTTATTCTATATGAAATCTAAACTTGAAATTTCTTGCAGGTCAGACATCGTCTTTAAAGATATTTAATTTTATAACCTCTGTGTACTAGGTCCGTTAGGACAGCGCGACTCGTTTATAACCCTTATTCTATATAAAATCTATTCTTGAAATTTCATGCAGCTCCTACATCCTGTTAAAGATATTTAATTTTATAACCTCCGTGTACCAGTTCCGCCAGGGCAGCACAACGGTCCGAGAGGCGGGCGGACGCGTACGCCACACGCCGCTGCTGTGCCACACCACCGCGCCCGAGGACAAGCGCAAGATCATCGGCGACGTGTTCATACGCATCGCCGAGCAAGCCGTGCGCGACCTCGAGCTGCAGTGAGTACTGCCGCATGCGTTCTGTTCGCCTAGTAGCCGCTGCTGTGCCACACCACCGCGCCCGAGGACAAGCGCAAGATCATCGGCGACGTGTTCATACGCATCGCCGAGCAAGCCGTGCGCGACCTCGAGCTGCAGTGAGTACTGCCGCATGCGTTCTGTTCGCCTAGTAGCCGCTGCTGTGCCACACCACCGTGCCCGAGGAAAAGCGCAAGATCATCGGCGACGTGTTCATACGCATCGCCGAGCAAGCCGTGCGCGACCTCGAGCTGCAATGAGTACTGGCGCATGCGTTCTGTTCGCCTAGTAGACGCTGCTGTGCCACACCACCGTGCCCGAGGAAAAGCGCAAGATCATCGGCGACGTGTTCATACGCATCGCCGAGCAAGCCGTGCGCGTCTTCGAGCTGCAATGAGTACTGGCGCATGCGTTCTGTTCGCCTAGTAGACGCTGCTGTGCCACATCACCGTGCCCGAGGAAAAGCGCAAGATCATCGGCGACGTGTTCATACGCATCGCCGAGCAAGCCGTGCGCGTCCTCGAGCTGCAATGAGTACTGGCGCATGCGTTCTGTTCGCCTAGTAGACGCTGCTGTGCCACACCACCGTGCCCGAGGAAAAGCGCAAGATCATCGGCGACGTGTTCATACGCATCGCCGAGCAAGCCGTGCGCGTCCTCGAGCTGCAATAAGTACTGGCGCATGCGTTCTGTTCGCCTAGTAGCCGCTGCTGTGCTACACCACCGTGCCCGAGGAAAAGCGCAAGATCATCGGCGACGTGTTCATACGCATCGCCGAGCAAGCCGTGCGCGACCTCGAGCTGCAGTGAGTACTGCCGCATGCGTTCTGTTCGCCTAGTAGCCGCTGCTGTGCCACACCACCGCGCCCGAGGACAAGCGCAAGATCATCGACGACGTGTTCATACGCATCGCCGAGCAAGCCGTGCGCGACCTCGAGCTGCAGTGAGTATTGCCGCATGCGTTCTGTTCGCCTAGTAGCCGCTGCTGTGCCACACCACCGTGCCCGAGGAAAAGCGCACGATCATCGGCGACGTGTTCATACGCACGCCCCCGCTCGCCGAGCAAGCCGTGCGCGACCTCGAGCTGCAGTGAGTATTGCCGCATGCGTTCTGTTCGCCAGTAGCCGCCTCCCGCCCCACCAAAACCGCCTGCGCGACCCGAGCTGCGTGAGTATTGCCCTGCGTTGGCCAGCCCCACCACCGCGCCCGAGGACAAGCGCAAGATCATCGACGACGTTTTTCATACGCATCGCCGAGCAAGCCGTGCGCGACCTCGAGCTGCAGTGAGTACTGCCGCATGCGTTCTGTTCGCCTAGTAGCCGCTGCTGTGCCACACCACCGTGCCCGAGGAAAAGCGCACGATCATCGGCGACGTGTTCATACGCATCGCCGAGCAAGCCGTGCGCGACCTCGAGCTGCAATGAGTATTGCCGCATGCGTTCTGTTCGCCTAGTAGCCGCTGCTGTGCCACACCACCGCGCCCGAGGACAAGCGCAAGATCATCGACGACGTGTTCATACGCATCGCCGAGCAAGCCGTGCGCGTCCTCGAGCTGCAGTGAGTACTGCCGCATGCGTTCTGTTCGCCTAGTAGCCGCTGCTGTGCCACATCACCGTGCCACACAAGCGCAAGATTTTGATCACTTTGGGTTCCTTCAGGGACGACCACCAGTGATCGTTGGGCCACCAGTTAAGAAACACTAAATTTACTCTCGACTGATGGATAACCCTTTTCCAATTCTGGCTGATATACCTGGCAGTGTATCTAGGATAAAATTACTGACATATTAATCTCTTACAGAGAAGATCAAGTGCTTCTCGGCCAGGGAACACTTAGGCCGGACTTGATCGAGTCGGCGTCATCGCTGTGTTCCGGCAACGCGTCCACAATCAAGACGCATCACAACGACACGGAGTTGGTTCGTGTGTTGCGTCAACGTGGTCGCGTTGTTGAGCCACTGCGCGACTTCCATAAGGATGAGGTATGCATTTTGTGGCTTGATGATTGCAATATTACCTGTTTCAGTTTTGTATTGTCGCTTCTTACGACAACCACGGGACGATATGAGGTAATGGATAACCTAACACTGCCATTACACAGTAATAATAGTAGTAATAGCTTAATTTATTTAATTTATTAACATTACTGCCTCGTAGATCTAGTGGTTGTAGTAGTGCCACTGCTGATCATGAGGTCCTGGGTTCGAATCCCGGATCGGCCCAAAAAATTAATTATTGAGTTTTTCCGTCAAGAAATTCTCAGTAGTTGCCCGGAGTCGGGAAGTTGGCGGTGTCTTACCCCCGTGGCTCGGAAAGCACGTAAAGCCGTTGGTCCTGCGCCTGATCTCTATCTGGTCGTATCGGTTTACAGTCCCATCGGATTATGAGAGTGAGGGAATAGAGAGTGCACCTGTGCTTACGCATACACTTGGGCACTATAATCCTGTCCTGCGCCGATGACTAGCCTCCGTTGAGGAGGCCGCCGTGGCCGAAATTCGGTCTGGAGGACATTATTATTATTATAATAGCTTAATTTAATTTTGTAGAAAAATGTTACCCCCACGCTAAGATTTTCTCCTGTATTGTGGGCAGTTTACATACATAAATTTCACAAGGATAAATATTCAGGCCCGGAAGAATTATTTGTAGGCTATGTTGTTAATATTTTCAATATAGTATATTAGTTTAATTGGAAGTGAATAAACCGAATTATGTATATTCCTAAAAGTAGAAAATTTCCTATAAAGAGTTAATAAATGTGAAAAAGAATAAGGAGCAAACCACTAAGGCTTTGTTTTGTTTATTCAAATAATTCTCAATAAACTGTTTCCGCGCTCCTCAAAGTCACTGGTGACTTTAGGGCAGGCATGAAGGAAACTAAAGTCACAGTGGTTTTGGTTGACTTCTCTAACGCCTTTAATGCCTCCAGCCACGACATCCTATTATCAATCCTTTCACTTTCTTTGATCTCATCTGAGGCTTTGGAGTGGTTCTCATCTTATATTCGAGGCCGCCAGCAGTCATTTCGCATTGACGAGTCCTCATCAAGTTGGTGTGACTTGCATGCTGGTATTCCTCAAGGCGGTATTCTATCTCCGTTGTTATTTTCAATATTTATAAATCTCATTACCCCAAATCTTCAGTGTGCGTATCATTTGTATGCTGATGACTTGCAGTTGTACTCACACGTGAAGGTCGACTGTATATCTACAGCAATTGAGTCTCTTAATAGGGACCTAGAGTATATAAAGAACTGGTCTGACAAGTTTGGTCTTAAAGTTAACCCATCCAAATGTCACGCTATAAATTATTAGCCAACGGATGATAAAGAAACTGGATCCCACAGCTTTACCGCCGATCATTTTTAACGGTTTAATTTTAGAACTGAGTAATACCGTGAAAGACCTTGAATTGCACATTGACTCCACCTTGAGCTGGCAAACTCAAGTGGCAAATGTTTGTCAGAAAGAGTGACAGGTATTTTGCGTTCTCTCTACCGCCTGAAGAACTTTCTCCCGTCCAGGACCAAGACGATTATTGTGCAGACCTTAATTTTTCCCATTTTTGACTATGGTGATGTGTGTTATTTTGACCTTAATGCAGAACTCTTGAACAAATACGACCGTCTTCTTAATAACTGCATTCGATTCGTTTTTAATCTTTGAAAGTATGATCATGTGTCTACTTATCGCTTTCAACTTAACGGTTACCCATTCGTCAGCGCCGTAGTCTACATGCACTCACTACTCTTTACTCTATCTTGATGTCTCCTAATCCTCCATCTTATTTAACTCCTCATTTTCAATATCTTAGCTCCAACCATTATAGAGTTCTCCGTTCTAGTAATAACCGCCAGTCCACTAACTTTGTACAATCATCGTTCTTTGTTCAATCTGTTCTTCTTTGGAACGCTCTTCCTTCCGAAATCAGGAGTGCCGAAAACCGGATTTCGTTCAAATTCTAAAGTGCGAGAACTGCGTCAATAAAATGGCAGAATCAACTTAGCGTTCGTAGTTAGCCGTGTTAAATATAAAAATAATATATATATATATAAAAAAAAAAAAAATATGGTTTTTTAATTTATGTATATATATTTACATATGTTTATATATGTATATATTTATACGCTTATATATGTATGAGTTTATATATATTGTACATACTTCTTATTACACCTACCTCTTTTATCTCTGCACTACTCTAAGGTAGACTGGTAGATAATGCCTTTGGAATTAAGTCCGCCTATATACATCTGCGTATATGAAGTTAAATAAATAAATAAAAAATATCCACTAGCCCATATCGTCCGGTGGGTGTCGTAAGAGGTGACAGGTGGAATTTAAAACAGAAGATGGGCAGCAGTATCTTCTTGATAATAACTTAAAATATTTAAAAAAACGTTTGCCAATCTGCCTGTCAAGCATGTCAACTGGCAAAATTCTGCCTATGAGGCCATTTATGGGAGTGGTCTATGTTTAGCAGTGGACTTTTATGAGCTCTTGTGGATGGGTGGTGCAACAAAAAACTTCATCTCAGGCCCAACTAGCGACATCTGGTGAACGGAAAGAAAAAAACTTCATTGAAAGTTCATTTGTGTGTCAGGTGCGCGTGCTGGGCACGGAGCTGGGCTTGCCGGCGGCGCTGGTGGAGCGGCACCCGTTCCCCGGGCCCGGGCTGGCCGTGCGCGTGCTCTGCCAGGACGAGCCCTTCGCCGAGCGCGACTTCTCCGAGACACAGGTGCGTGGCGTGTGCGTGTACACCCTACCGTGCTGCTGTATGCTGCACGTGTACAGCCTGCCGTGCTGCTGTACGCTGCACGTGCACACCCTGCCGTGATGCTGTACACTGCACGTGTACACTCTGCCGTGCTGCTGTACGCTGCACATGTACATCCTGCCGTGCTGTTGTATGCTACACGCTTACACCCTGCCGTGCTGCTGTACGCTGCACGTGTACATCCTGCCGCGCTGCTGCACGTGTGCCACCCTGCCTTTGCAATATATAGTTAAGACTGTTTAGGACTTACTGCTTAGGACTTACTACTTAAGACTCTAAGACGTAGCCGCAGTGCACGTGTAAATCAAGAAATGGCTTCTTTCTTCTAAGTGATAACTGAATAATGCACATAGGTCGAACTATTGTGAACAAAATTTGTTATTGTTGTATGCGTTAGATCGCAATCCCGTCCGTAGGAGTTTAAATTTAAAATTTTATGTTTTACATTAAGTGTGTCATTTCAATAACAACTTATAGCATATCTTCTAAGAATGAGATCAAGATTCCATTCTGCTAGTAAGCTAGTAGTAATTTTTGTGAAACTATTTACGGTGTAGTGGCGGTGTTAAAATATCCACTGCCTCATATCATTCCATGCTTCTTTCTAATAACAACGAAAACAATAAATGGGTGCGTTTGGCAGAAAAAAGCGCTAGCAAGCGCTTACAAGCGCTGAAATAGTTTTCGGCCAGGACACGATTGCTACTTCAGTAGCGCTGACACAATCCGCCATTTTGCTTATTTAATTTGTTTGTTTTGAAGTAGAGTTTATAAGTTTTTTGTGCAATATTAGTTTTAAGTAATATAATGACATGAATAGACATATACATGTTATTAAAAATTCATGATTGGTAAGTTTTTAATATGAATACTTTACAAACATACATTTAAATTAGGTTAGGTTCCCCGGTTAAAACTAACTTCGTGTCCTAGAGGAAAATAGCTACTTACGATTTGACAGGACTTACCGCTTACGATCGCCATTTTGCTTACAAGTGCTTGCTAGCGCTTTTTTCTGCCAAACGCACCCATTATCTTGTTGCTAACCCGCATGTAATGGTCTGTAACGGTAACCGTAACAGTAATTACTACATTAAGGCAATTAAGAGGCGTGGGTCCGTACTTCCCCACTGGTACAGCAGTTAGATAGCTCAAGAACCACCACAGAGGCTGCATGATGATTGGTAACAATACCAAATTAGAAACAATCATCATTATCCTCATCACCATAGCCCTTCCCTTTTTAATCAGAGTTTTAATTTCCGTAAGTCGGATGAAGCTTTGAGAACCATATATATCTCTGCACAGGAAGGACGACTCACTGGCCCATGCCGCCAAGGACAAAGCCGATCTGCTGGACTCTCTCTTTGCGTCTAACTCGACTCTTGATGACGGGGGAACACACCGCCGACCATCCCGCGGAGTGAGTGCTCCATGCAGGATGTCCTGTTTACCCAACACTCTGTGCGCAGAGTACTCCTCTCCCTGGACGTCAACAAGTCGAGTGGGCCAGATGGCGTCCCTCCTATTGTGCTGAAGACGTGTGCTCCGGAGTTGGCACTGGTTATAACGCGTCTTTTCCGGTACTCTGGTAGGCAGCCCTCGTGCACCCGTTCCTTAAAAAAGGTAACCGCTCTGATCCGTCCAACTATAAGCCTGTCGCCATCACCTCCTTGTTCTCTAAAATAATGGAATCCGTTACCGTATCCGGTACCTTGAAGATCACCAGCTGATTAGTGACAGCCAGTACGGTGATCTTCCAGGTTACCTAACTCATAAATGGGTGAAGGTAGTAGAGTCCAAGGGGGAGGCGTTGGCCGTTAGTTTGGACATATTGAAGGCCTTCGATCGGGTTTGGCACAAAGCGCTTCTTACGAAGCTTCCTTCCTATGGGCTTCCCGAGAAATTGTGTAATTGGATCACCAGTTTTCTTGCTGATCGGAGCATCAAATCGTAGTAGATGGTGCATGCTCCGTTTACAAGCCCATTAACGCTGGTGTTCCACAAGGCTGTGTGCTATCACCGACGCTGTTTCTTCTGCATATCAATGAAATGTTGCAAATCGGTAGCATTCATTGCTATGCGGACGTAAGCACTGGTGATGCTTTATACACCGGCCGTGCCAATATTTCTCGGGGAAACGTCGCAGAGTACCGGAACTAACTTGTCTGAAGTCGAAACTTTGTTGAAGGAAGTCTCGGACTGGGGGCGACTAAATCTAGTCCAGTTTAATCCCCAGAAGACACAAGTTTGCGCGTTTACCGCTAAAAAAACCCTTTCGTCGTATCTTCTCAATTTCAAGACATTCCCCTTCTTGCCTCAGCCAGTATTGGAATCCTCGGCGTCAACATATCGAGTGACGTGCAGTTTCGTGGTCACTTGGAAGAAAGGCCAAATTGGCCTCTAGAAACTTTGGCGTGCTCAGCAGAGCGGGACAGTATTTCATTCCGGCACACCGCCTGCAACTTTACAAGGCGCAGGTTCGGCCGCACATGGAATACTGTTCCCATCTCTGGGCCGGGGCTCCCCAGTGCCGCTCCTTCCATTTGATCGCATACAGTGCAGAGCTGTTCGAATTGTCGGCGACCGAGCTCTTTCCGATCGGCTTGACTCACTGGCACTGCGAAGAGATGTTGCATCTCTTTGCGTATTTTATCGCATCTACCACGGGGAGTGCTCTGAGGAATTGTTCGGACTAATTCCAGCCGCACAGTTTCACCATCGTACATCGCGACAAAACTCGCGATACCATCCATACCATCTGGATGACTGGCGGTCCACTACCGTGCGATTTGAAAGAAGTTTTCTTCCTCGAACAACTTCCTTGTGGAATCGACTACCACCAAAGATTTTTCCGGACCTTTAAGAAAAGAGCCTACTCCTCTTTAAAAGGTCGGCAACGCATCTGCAATTCCCCTGGTGTTGCGGTTGCTCATGGGCGGCGGTAATCACTTACCATCAGGTGAGCCGTATGCTCGTTTGCCCCCTCTACTATAAAAAATATAGGCCAACAGCACTAACATCATAGAAAGAAATAGATAGTCATTATTAATGATGAGATATTTCAAAAATACAATGGCTTCCAATAAATGGCGATTAAACCAACTCGTTTACGCTCGTTGTAAACTACTACTACTACTGCTTACAATGGTATAGACTCATGCCTGGCAGTGGACACTATTGGGATAATAATGATGATAATGATGATAGAAATTACTAATGATATTTCTTGATCGATTACTTCAGAATGTTTGTTGTCTTTGACCACAGAACAATTCTAACGTTTCAACTCATTATACGTTCCAGGTTATAGTAAAAATTATGGTGGAGTACGCCTCGATGTGCCTAAAGTCCCATGCATTGTTGGGCCGCGTCGCGAACGCAACCACACCTACGGAGCAAGCGGAGCTCAAGCGCATCTCTTCTAAATCGCCCGTTGCCGCAACATTGCTGCCAGTGCGCTCAGTTGGAGTACAAGGTAGCTACATATATTGCATGTTACTTTAGTTAAATACTTAGGAAAGTTATTTGTAGATCACACAAATTTATCATACTTATTAGCTTATTACGTACGGGAATCGAATCTAAGGTTGACCAAGCATCATTGTAGTCCAGTTATTATAGTAAGTTCACCTCGGAATTCGAGATACCCAGCTGTAAGTCTGTAAATACTTATATATTGACACCCTAAAAGTTGTCTCAAAACCTACATATGGTAGGGTGTATGCAACTATTAAATTTCAAGGTCAAAGGTCAAAAAATCGGTATTTTGTGCTTTTTTTTCTAAATATCTCATTTCCTGTGGGTTTTTTTGCTATTTGTATTTATTATCAATATTGTAGAGTACAATATTCTCTACAAATTTTGTTAAAAAAAATTTTATACGGTGAACCGTTTTCGAGATAACAGGGCGGAGAGCGCGCGGTCACAGCATCACTTCAGGTCAACCGGTGCCTCCGGTCGAAAACGCGCCATATATAGCTGATGAACTGTCGATAAATCAATGATTATAAATATTTGTCAATTTTTATGAACTATTATATGTTATCATTTTTTTCCTAACCTATCCACTTTTTATTCAGTATTAATTTATTTAACAACACTTACCTGCCCATGTAATTGCAGAATTGTTATTGAAAATATAGGAATCATATTAGAATTATAATCTAATTAATATTAATAACTTCTTACATGATGAAAAAAAAACATAAATTATGAGTTAATCTTTTTATTAAAAATATCATTCACAATACATTTATTTTTATTAAAAGTAAAAAAAATGGAATAAGGGGTACAAAAACTACAATTTATAATTTTAATCATCTTCTTCCTCTTCATCGTCGTCTTCCGGCTGCTGGTAAATTTCAAACTGGTCTTCATTATCGTCTTCAACGACATTTGTCTCAAGTTCTTCCATGAATTCGGGGTCAAAGGTTCCATCTTCGTTAATGTCGCTCTGATATGGTAGAGAATTGAGACAAGCTTGCCTATTGGCCACAAGCTAAAGAGCATTTCAAGCCCGCTTTTCTGCATCCGCATCGCGAACCACAGTGTCAAAATTTCTGAATATCCAACAAAATACATAAAAACAATTCGCTCTACGCTATTTGCGTAAAATTAAAAATAAATGATGTTATTTTAAACGGCGTAGGCTGCGATCGCTGGTGAATGAAAGTTGTAAGCGCGAGTGGGACACATGCACATTTCTTTTGTTAGACATTCATCGTAGGCATACAACTCGACCGCCTGGCACCTACATAAGATACATATACTGGATGACCTTTTTATCGTCTCGGAAAAATAGGATGTAGCATTTGAACGGAGTAGAAGCCCATGGCACTGATATATTACAAAAAATAAATACAAAAATTTGGAATTAAATAATAAATAAATTAAAACCTATCAAAGTTCCAATTATATTCTACCACCATATCCACCCTACTTTACGAACGGCAATAAAACTATAAATTTATTAGGCATCTTTGACCTTGTAGCCTTGCAGGGTCACAGGTTATACGATATAATAAATACTATTAAAATATTGTTCCCAGGTGATTCTCGAACTTACAGCTATGCGGTGGCGTTATCCACAGAACGCTACCCTCCAGACTGGAAGGACATGCAATATCTCGCCAAAATCATACCGCGTGTGTGCCACAATGTTAACAGGTATTTTTATTTAAATATTTAACCTTTTTAAATCTATTCTGCAGGGTGAGCGGTACATACTTGAATCATAAATTATACACATATCGTTGCCCCTTTTCTCTCCCCCACCACCAATGATTTCAAAAGAAAGGATAGGCCGTTCTTAATATTTTGTTCATAACTTTTTCATACAAGAAAAAGTAGCGCATCTGTCATAATAAAAACGCCATATCAAAACACGACGTAACCAGGGTCGGATTTCGTAGTATAACTATCTTAATTGTGTCATTATTTCGTAGTTTGTTGTATATGGTATGGTAATAATAAAGCGAAAATACCTATATACCATACTATATACAACAAATACGAAATATATATAATAATTTTACCTAAAGGTCGACTTGTATTATTATTGGGTCCTTTTAAATTTTAATATTAACCCTACGATATCGAGAATTTTTGTATTGTAACAGTTGGGCTGAAAAGTTCGTATCGTTTTATAGAAAAACACATTTTTTTGGCAAAATTCGATTTTATTATTCAACATATTTGCCATCGAGGGCGATACACCGATTATAGCGATCTTCCAACTTTTCAATACCATTTTTGTAGTACGATTTGTGTTTAGCCTCAAAATAGGCCTCTGTTTCGGCGATTACTTCCTCATCGGCTTTAAATTTCTTTCCAGCGAGCATTCTCTTGAGATCTGAGAACAGGAAAAAGTCGCTGGGGGCCAAATCTGGAGAATACGGTGGATGCGGAAGCAATTCGAAGCCCAATTCATGCAATTTTGCCATCGTTTTCATCGATTTGTGACACGGCGCATTGTCTTGATGAAACAACACTTTCTTCTTCTTCAAATGGGGCCGTTTTTTCGCCATTTCGTCCTTCAAACGCTCCAATAACGCTATATAATAGTCGCTGTTGATGGTTTTTCCCTTTCCAAGATAGTCGATGAAAATTATTCCATGTGCATCGCAAAATACGGACGCCATAACCTTACCGGCCGACTGTTGAGTTTTTCCATGCTTTGGATTCGGTTCATCGCGTGAAGTCCATTCAGATGACTGCCGACGGGACTCCGGAGTGTAGTGGTGGATCCATGTTTCATCGATTGTCACATATCGACGCAAAAATTCACTTCTATTGCGGTTGAACAGCTCCAAACATTGCTCTGAAGCATCGACACGTTCTTGTTTTTGGTCGATTGTGAGCTCGCGCGGCACCCACTTTGCACATAGCTTTCGCATACCCAAATATTCATGAACGATATATCCAACACGTTCCTTTGATATCTTTAGAGTGCCAGCTATACAAATCAACCTCAATTTACGATCTTCCAAAATCATTTTGTGGATTTTTTTTATGTTTTCGTCCGTAACAGCCTCTTTTGGACGTCCACTGCGTTCATCGTCTTCGGTGCTCATATGGCCTGTACGGAATTTGGCAAACCACTTACGAATGGTTGCTTCGCCCGGCGCAGAGTCCGGATAACACTCATCAAGCCACTTTTTGGTATCAGCAGCACTTTTTTTCATCAAAAAATAGTGTTTCATTAAAACACGAAATTCCTTTTTATCCATTTTTTTCAAAATAACAAAAGTTGCTTCACTCAAAATGCTGTATCTCACAAACTAATAATCAGACAGCTGTCAAATTTATACACGTTTCTTTTGAAGGTTGGTACTACCTAAAAATGATATGGATTTTATTCTAGTGGCGCCATCTCATAGAGACGATACGAACTTTTCAGCCCAACCAATATATGAGTACCGCGTTTTTTCTAATAAAATTAGAATTAGCTCCCTTTCTGGTCAATCGATGCTCAATCAATGCATTTATGTTGCATCCTTGATACAACTATAATGAGGGGCTACCAAGATAAAAACTATGCTCCAGAAGCAATCGGTTTGAAAACAGAATTTCAAAATATTTTATGAATCAGATTTTCAGATTCAATTAAGCAGATATGGTTTCTTTTGTACTCTTTTCGTTTTACCCTAATTGAATATAAAATATATTAGGTACCAATATTCAAAATTTAACTTACTAGTGTAAGTTAAATTTTGAACTTAGTAGTTCTTTAGACAAAAATTAAACAGAAATAAAAATAAAACCGTCAAAAAACGAAACGTATGGATGACAATATCCGGCACAGGAAAAAAAATTTAAATAGTATAATTTTAATTTCCATGTACAATATTTTTTATGGGTCTGAATCCAGCCCTGGACTAATCTTGGTAACGTAACTAAACTGTAAAATAAAACTAAAAATGCGTTTATATAGTAATTTAATTGTAACAAAATTAATATAAGGTTATTTACCGATGATACGATATCCCATGTTTTTTTTTTAAATCTTTGTTTCATAATTTTTGCATTCTTTTACCACGCAACTAGACATATTTGACAGGCAACGTGGTAGAGCCATGCTGCAATTATATTCGTAGTATAGTTGTAGCACGAATGGGTTGGCTCGACCGGGGAAGGACCACGCTCTCCAGAATACCAGCGTGAAATAGTAACTTAATGCTGCTGTATTTCTTATGGTGAGTGTAGAGAACCGGAGACCCTTTTTACTGGAAACGAGGCATTCCATCTTAGTCCTCACGGGTGACAACGCATCTGCATTTTGTTGTAATTGAGGAAACATGTAGATGTCTATGGGTCTGTAGAGTATGAAAGCCATATTGTAGGCTTATGAAAAAACTAAGATTTGACAGTTGTTGTCAATAAATAAAAAGGTATGGATGCAAATTGTGTTTTAATGGTGAAATCCCCATAAATACACAATATTTGGTGACGAGGATCTTATTCACGTATTGTTGAGTGCAATATTTAAAGTGAAATAGATACCAAGAAATAACGTCGAATAAAGGAAATGTGTTGTTCGGCAACAGCCTCATATTTGATCACGACATGCGAGCAGTGGCGAAGCTAGAGCTCCAAGCTAGGGCAAGCCCAAGATATAAATTGATAAAAATATAGATTGTTGTTTTTAGCAGTTTTATAAAAATACACCAATCTTGATCTGTCTCCACGCTTCAGTTTCCATATTCAGTGCTGTCAAGGACGTGTTTAACAAAGCACACTGAAGGCACTGCTAGATAGATTGTATTATATATCAGCAATTGCATAGCTTCGGTGGCTTTGAAGAAAGCCGTTTGGGTTTGTTTAAGCGAAAGAAAAAAAATATTTACATCCAATACAATACATGAACAAAAGTAAAACACGAACAAAGTACAAACAAACTATGTACAAAATTAAAAAAAAATTATTTACATTCTAATGGATAAGAGATAAGATAAATAAGTGGAATCGTCTCGCTTTCTTATGGAAAGATTTAATTACGTCCACGTAAAATGTTGGTGAACGTTTTAATTGTCCCAATAACTGTTTTTAATTGCGATAATTGATAAGTCTGACACTCTTAACCTTATGTATTATCTCAACAAAGTTTAAAGATTTCCTCTCCGATTATCATTTTAACACACTTCAATTCATCACAAGGAACACTATTATCCTCCATTTTCATTAAAAATCTTTAAAAAAGCATAAATTTTGAACTCGTAATATTAAATCACTTAAGATAAGCACACAGAGTAAATAAACATTGAAACGTGAAATGAACTTACAAACGTATTGCCCGCGCGCCTCCGCTTTTAACAAATTTATTCCCAAAAGCCTGGCTTTAAATCTCTATACTAATTGCTATATACATCATGTAACATAATTAACGCACTTTGAGAAAGTAGTTTGTTCAGAATCGTTTACTGAATCGACTCCTATCATTTTTAATATAGGTAATTTTTTATCCCAAAAATAATTAACTACGTAAATTACAGTCACACTAAATCTTTACAGTCAAAACAAACTCAAATGGACCGTAACTTAAAGCAATAAGAATTTTAAGAGTGCAGTTTTATTTGTGTTATTACTAATTCTGTCATTCAATAAAAATAAATAAAAATGAACTTTATTTCAAGCACGTTAAAGTGTTTGCGTTCGTGGATTTGTACTGTGACCACAACATTCTTCCGGAATTAGTATAACTAATTTGATAAATAATCAGTGCATAAAAATGTTTACCTAAAAACATGAGTTAACGACGTATGAGAAGAGGCGACTTTTTGCTTATTAAAACTCATTTATGAAGCAGCAGTATCGCTAAGATGGTAACATTAATCGCCCCTAGTACGTGACTGTGGTTTTTCCGTTAAAACTAGAAGATTTAGCTTATAAGACTCTCATTGAAAATATTGACAACCAGCTTTCTCCAAATAAATGTACATTTGCGGAAAGATATGTTTTTTATAAAGCAGAACAAAGACCAGGCGAAGACTTAACTGAATGGGCGGCTCGAGTTCGTTATTTTGCTCAGTTTTGCGGTTTTAAAATAGAACTGGAGACGGCATAAAGGGACAAGTTTGTGCTGGGATTGGCAAATGTCAAGGAAAAAGAAAAGCTTTTTTGTGAAAACATCGATAGCTAAACATTCAACAAAGCGTTGGAATTAGCACAAAGCATACGATGTGCTTGAGTTGCAGTTCAAAGGTCATTGCAAGATGAGGGACTAGTCACATAATCAGCCACAGCGCAACCGATGTTCGCTTTACGAGCCCAAGAAAATTCTGTTCGTCAAACTACAGCAACAAACATATCTTGTTTGGTTTGTGGATATAAGAACCATACCAAAGATAAATGTCGATATATTACACTTTTGTTCGCATATCGACAAAAAAATCATTTAAAACGTGTTTGTAATTGTTCTGAAAATATTGAATGTAGCCCAGATCAAACTAATTTAATTATTAGTTTTATTAACGAAAGAAACGGAGAGAAACTATGCAAGATCAAATACTCTGTAAAATTATAAATTTTGTAATAAATGGCTGGCCATTGAAAATGCACAACACGGAACTTAAACCGTGTTTTAAATGTAAAAACGATTTAAGTGTCGAAAATGGGTGCTTATTAAGGGGACATAAAATAGTTATTTATTTTATTCATAGCTCCATTTCGGCATTGTAAAGACTAAAAATGAAGCGAGATCGCGTATGTCGTGGCCCAATATTGATAAGCGGATTGAAGAAACAATAGGATCGTGTAGTATTTGGAACGCGCTCCGCTACGATCCACCCCGTTCTCCACTAGCATCGTGGACACTTCCGAAACGTCCTTGGGAACGAGTTCATTTAGACATGTTTTCTTTGTCTAACAAACAATTTTTAATTGTTGTAGACGCACATTCAAAGTGGATTGAATGTTTCCAAATGAATAATACAGATAGCGAAGCAATTATCAGTAAACTTTTAAAGATTTTTTGCAGATTTGGGTTATGTATAAAATTACTCGTATTATCGGTTACCACAGTGCGGGTAACCGATAATGCGAGTAATTTTTGTTCAAATCAATTTGAAAACTTTTGTTTGTCAAATGGTATACAACATTTAACTTCTCCTTCATATCACCCAGCAAGCAGAAAATACCGTTAAGATAGTTAAAAGGGGATTAAGGATTATTTTAAACACACATACGGATTAAAAATCGATAATTAATAAGTTAATTGAGTTCCTTTTTAGTTATAGAAATTCGGTTCATTGCACAACCGGTTTCTCACCTGCCCAGTTGTTAGGCCGCCCGCTCCGCTGTCGACTCGACTTACTTAGTGACCACAAATTTGAGCAGAACACAAATGATACATCTTTATCATCCACAACCAATAATGTTGCAAATAAACACCTTACAGAGTGAAAACTATGATGGACGAAGAAAGAGCAATTTTAACAAAGAGGACAAAGTTTTAGTTAAGCATTTTTACAACAACGGGAACGATTACACGTGGAAGTTCGGCGTAGTTAAAAATAAATTACGAAATAGATTATTTACCGTTTTTGTTCCGGAGTTAAATAAATATTATAAGAAAAAAATAAAAAGAATATGATTTAGATTTGAGTAATTTTGAAAATTTTTCTAATATGTTGAGCACAGATCAAGCTAATTGTAACGCCAAGGCTACAGAAGTTGATACCATAACTTCAGACTCCTTGTTATTAAGAGGAGAAGAGGGCGAAAGTTCTGGCAGTCAATCCAATCAACATTTAGAGGTACCAATGCAAGGGCTGCCTCCCCGCTCAACTAGAAATCCGAGTCCAAAATATAAATATTAAAAAATTACATGATTTATTATACATTTTTATCATTACTTATGTTTTTTATATTTAGTGGTGGAGAGATTGTAGAGTATGAAAGCCATATTGTAGGCTTATGAAAAAACTAAGATTTGACAGTTGTTGTCAATAAATAAAAAGGTATGAATGCAAATTGTGTTTTAGTGGTGAAATCCCCATAAATACACAATAAGGTCGCAGCAACCACTTACCATCAGGTGGACTGTGTGCTCGTTTGTCACTCTATCCTATAAAAAAAAGGCAAATCTGCGCACGCACTACTGTCGACCGATTCGCGTTGGCCCTAAACTGTAATTTTAGGGCCAGCGCACTGGTCCGTTTTAGTTGTTCGGTCGGCCCGGTCCTTATGCTAGTAATATATAAGTCAATGCCCACCACCGAGCTGTACGCTCGGTTCGTACCATCGAGATGAATCTCCTGACCCGTGATAGCCCTGCGGCTAAACACTCGCCGTAAATTTCACAGTAGGTATCCTAAAAAGCAGAGTTCGATCTCCGGTTGCGATACTGTTAATTACAATAAACATTTTTTAAGTGCTGATTTATCAAGCATTTGTGTGTGACAAATTAAAAAAACATTTCAGGGACATAATGTGAACCCCACCACACAATATTCCTACCCCAAGGAATGCCACAAAGCACGGTCTCGAGCCGCCTGCATCCATCGACTTCCTTCATGTCTTACCAGGTCGTCACTCCATCTAGTGGGAGGACGCCCTAATCTTCGCCTGCCGGTACGAGGCTGCCCCTTGAGAACCATCGGTTGTCGGTTCTTCGAGCGGCGAGCCCATTGCCAGTTTAGCTTACTTAATCCGTTGGGTTTTGTTGGTTACTCTGGTTCCACTGCGGATATCCTCGTTTTTAAGTCTATCACGCAGAGAAACCCCGAGCATTGCCCTCTCCATAGCTCGCTGAGCGACCTTGACCTTCCTCATTTTCAAACAGTAGAATTAGAATGAAAACACTTGCATCAGGAGGTGTAATCTTTGTCCAGCCGTGGATTATTAGCTAATTAAAGGTGTAGGATATTAAATAAATCTGCACATAAATTTATGTCATTATTTCAGTTTCAAACAACTTATAAAATTGCAGGGTTTGCTACGCTTTCGGAGGTATAATAAAAGAGCAAGTCACAGACATTACGCCTACGTTCCTTACACAACACGTCATTTCCACACTCCGCCAGGCAGACGATCTCGCAACTCAGGTAAATGGTATTAAAATTATCTTTTGAAAGTTAGTCATCATCGTTACAGCCTTTCACAAGTCCACTGCTGAACATAGGCCTCCCTCAAGGAATGCCACAAAGCACGGTCCTGAGCCACCTGCATCCATTGAAAGTGGCCCATACACATCTATATGAGGGGTGATCCAAAAGTAATGATAATCGGTTACTTCAGGTCCGCATAAAAATCCAAAAAAATATTTTTGCTTGCCTATATACTCACTACGTCAGCCTAAAAAATCATGTAAATAGATCACGATTTCCGGAAGATACATTCATTTGAATACGAACTGTCAAAGAGATAACATCAACATGGAGAAAAACGAAATTAGAGCTGTCATCAAGTACCTCTGTTTGAAAAAAATGTCTTCAAAAGACATACACAGTGACTTAGTGGAAACATTGGGGGACTCTGCTCCTCCATATTCTACAGTTGCACGCTGGGCCAAGGAGTTTAAACTAGGCAGAACATCCACTGAAGATGAACATCGCGAAGGACGCCCATCCACGTCCCTCACTGAAGACAACGTGAAAAAAGTCGAAGATGTTGTGTTGGCAGATCGAAGAGTGACCATCAGGCATGTAGCTGAGGTCACAGGGATCTCATATGGCAGTGTTCAAAGAATTCTTGCGAACGAGTTGCATATGAAAAAGGTCTCTGCGCGTTGGGTACCCAGAATGTTAACCGACGAGCAAAAGAAAAATCGAGTTGACATTTCGAGGGTCAATCTCGAAAAGTTCCAAGCAGATCAAGAAAATTTTTTGTTCCGTTTTGTGACTATGGACGAGACCTAGATCCACCATTTTGATCCTGAAACGAAACAACAATCGATGACTTGGAAGCGAGCCTCCTCACCGACGCCAAAGAAATTCAAAGTTTCAAGTTCGGCGGGAAAGGTTATGGCATCTGTTTTTTGGGACGCTCAAAGCATAATTATGGTGGAATATTTGGAAAAGGGAGCCACTATTACGGGCTCTTACTACGCAGACCAAATAAGAAGATTACGGGAGGCCATTAACTGCGAGCTGGAGTGCTGTTTCACCAAGACAACGCACCGGCTCACAAAGCCGCAGTTGCGATGGCTGCCATTCAAGAAACGGGATTCGAACTGCTCGAACACCCTCCCTATTTGCCAGATCTAGCTCCTAGTGACTTCTACCTCTTTCCTCGGCTCAAGGAACGCCTCCCAGGCAAGAAATTCGAAGACGATAGCAAAGTAATGGCCGCTGTAGAAGCGGTTTGGGAGGGTCAAGACAAAGAATTTTTTTCTAAGGGAATCCTGGGTTTAGAAAAAGATTGACTAAATGTATTGATTTGTTAGGAGACTATGTAGAAAAATAAATTATTATTTTAACTTTAATTACCGTTTTTTTATTTTCATTATCATTACTTTTGGATCACCCCTTGTATTTATCCTCGATTAAGAATCAAAACGCAGATGCATTTTCAACCTTGAGAACTAAGATGGAATGCCTCGTTTCCAGTAAAAAAGGATCTCCGGATCTCTACACTCGCCATGCGAAACAAAGCAGTATTAAGCTGCTATTTCACGCTGATATTCAAAACACATTCATTTAGTTTTCTTATAAAACGAACAATATATTTCTCGGTTGGAGAGTAAAGAAAGAACGCCGCCAATGAGTATAGACGGCATTTTGATACAGCTCTCCTAAAGTAATTCTAATTTGAATGCTGCTGCTGGATTTAGGCTTTTGTTGTTCTGAGATTGACAGCAAAGTTATTCATAGCAGCACATGTAATATATTTTCGAAAATAATTTGTTTATACTGTAAAAACTAACTGAAATCTGTTAAACTATTAATTAACATTTTTATGTGCATGTTTCTTTATTAAGAAAAATGTGTCACACATGTGGTATCTAGTACATAACATTGTGCCCCGCAGTTGTGAAGAAAACAAAATAGAAAACAATTTTCAATATTGTGTTGTTTTACTTTTGACATGTAGTTCCATGTTACTAGTAAGACTAACTAGGATTATTATCATTATAGCCCACCAAAGTCCACAGTTGAACGTGGACCTCCCATATAGATGGGGGGGGGGGGGGGATATTTGTTACAGTTATTATGTTGGTCAGGCTGTTTGGCAACCACAGTTATTTTTTTTTAATTTTTGCCTCTGACAAATATATTTAATATTAATATTATGGAGTAGTGGGTATAAAGAGTATTCTTTAACTCTGGATAATCATACTTCGAAAAAAAAACTAACAGCTAATGAAAGTAAAAACTTTTTGAATTAAGTCTTATACCAAGCCGTTCCTGTCAAATTACAGTTGTACACCAGCAGGCCTTTATTAAAATAGTTAACATTAAAATGACAGTCACTTTCTGATATCAACGAAGTTAACGAACAGGCACGCCATTCGAAATTATGACCTTTGTGTAAACGGCAAGAAATATCACCATTGTTATCTTTCAGGCTACAGGATATAAGGCTTGTAATCATACGCATGAAGGTATGTGTTTTTATAAGAGAATTGGGAGTTCAAATTGGTTATATTTAGATTATATATATAAACGAAATACCACTGACTAGTTCGATTGACTTTAAATTTGGCATATATACTCCTTTCAAGACATAGGCACCTACTAAGAATGGAATTTGGAATATTAAACCCCTGGGGGGGTGAAATAGGGTCTTAGAGCTTGTATTAAATATGACTGCCTCGTTGGTCTAGTGGTTGTAGTAGTGCAACTGCTGATCATGAGGTCCCGGGTCGGGCCAAAAAATCAATTATTGAGTTTTTCGGTCAAGAAATTCTCAGTAGCTGCCCGGAGTCAGGAAGTTGGCGGTGTCTTACCCCCGTGCCTCGGAAAGCCGTTGGTACTGCGCCGGATCTCTCTTCCGGCCGTGTCGGGTAACCGTTCCATCGGATTACGAGAGCGAGGGAATAGAGAGTGCACCTTTGCTTGCGCATACACTTGGCCACTATAATCCTGTCCTGCGCCGATGGCTAGACTCCGTTGAGGCTGGCCGCCGTGACCGCAATTCGGTCTGGAGGACATTATTATTATTATTATTAATTATGGGATTTGTTTGTGCAGGTACTGATCTCCAGCGGGTACGCGGGCCGCATCGCGCAGATGCCGGTGGTGCTGATCCCGATCCACTTCGACCGCGACGCGGCCGTGCGCGCGCCGTCGTGCCAGCGCTCGCTGGTGCTGCGCCCGTTCCTCACCGGCGACTTCATGACGGGCGTTGCCGCACTGCCCTCGTCCGACTCCATGCCGCAGGACGTGAGACTATACTCATTTCATCATCGCCACACCACTAAATATATTTTTTATAGAGTAAGGGTGACAAATCAGCGTACATTACATCTACATCTGTCTTCAATTAAGAATCAAAATGCAGATACATTGTGACCCTTGAGGACTAAAATGAAATGGCTTATTTTCAGTAGTAATGGTCTTCGGTTCTCTACACTCACCATATGAAACACAGCAGCAATAAGCTGCTATTTTACGCTGGTATTCAGTGAGAGTGTGATCCTACCCGGCCTAACCGACTCATTAGTGCTTGAACTATAATATGGCTGAAACGTGGCTCTATTACTTATGAGACAAGAAGTTATTTATATTTAAAAGATTAACGTATTTTTATAGCTGCGCAAGCCTTATTATATCATGTTAAGTATAATAATGTTAAAGAAAATTAAATGTAGATTTTAGAGTACTTGTATTTTTAAATATACACACCGGCACGGAATCTTGGCCAAGCGGTTATCTCGCGATAGCAAAAGCTTTAAGTGTTTCTGATGAATGTTTGTTATGCAAGTATGTCAAAAAATGTTTACCCTCAAGTTCAAGAGGGTAATTCATTATGTTTAAGTGCACCATGACGAATTCTTTAATTTTTAGTTGATTCGGGTCATTTGAGCGACTAAGTTCACATTTTAAATTTGTGTGTTGTGAAAAGTTTACTGTAAGGTTATTCAATTATTGTGATCTTGTGTCTTAATTAAATAACTAAAGGTGCTTTAAAGCCAATAAAAATGCCATTAACACCAGCACAAGTTGCACAAGCAGTAGCATTAATTGACCAAGGGCTGACACAGCGTGAAGTTGCTATTGTGCTTAATGTACCACGGTCCTCAATGCAGTATTCACTGAAACGATACCAGGAGACAGGCCGCTACACCCGCAGGCCAGGCAGTGGGGGCGTAAGGTGCACATCGGCCCGGGACGATCGTTTTATTGTTATGGAGATTTTGAGAAACCGCTACCTGACCGCTGTTGAGATACGCCAGCGGCTCCAAATCGCAAGAGGCGTTAATGTTAGTGAGCGTACGGTGAGAAGACGAATGGAGGAAGTGAATTTAAAAGCTCGTAGACCAGCACGAGGTCCAGAACTTCTCAGACAGCACCGAGTAGCCCGACTTCAGTTCGCAAGAGAACATGTCAATTGGACCCACGAGCAATGGGCTAGAGTGTTGTTCACAGATGAGTGTCGAATAGCTTTACGTGCTCCAGACGGTCGAGAACGAGTGTGGAGAAAAAGAGGAGAGAGGTTTCTACCCATTACCACCACCCAAACTGTGAGTTTCCATGGAGGCTCAATAATGGTATGGGGAGGTGTAAGTTCCGACGCACGTACAGAGTTGGTCATCGTCGATAATCGGCTTACAGCTACTCGATACATCGAGGAAGTTCTTCAGGAGCACGTAATGCCTTATTCGGGATTCATTGGACACGACCAATTCCTCCTCATGCACGATAATGCACGCCCGCACGTCGCACATTGTGTAGAGGAATATCTGGAAGAGGTTGGAATACAAAGATTACAGTGGGCAGCTCTTAGCCCGGACTTAAATCCAATTGAGCATGTATGGGGTATGCTCAAAAGAAAGATAAAGTCCAGCTCCAAACCGCCACAAACTCTAAATGAGCTCCGAAATGCAGCGCTGGCCGCTTGGGACAGCATACTGCAAGTTGATGTCAGAAACATCATTCAAAGCATGCCAGATCGAATGCAAGCGGCTATCAGGGCTAGAGGAGGAAACACCCGATATTAAAACTGATAGACAATAAAGAAACAGACTTAATTTTTAACTTTGTAGTGTTTTTAAAGTGACAATGGAAAGATGTTAATTTTAGTGAAAACATGTTATCTTGAAAAGAAAAATTTCGGTGAAGTAAACATTAAATTTCTATGTTCTAAAACCATTAGAGACACTTATTGAATGCATCTACCCTTAATTTACTGTTAAAAAAACGTTTCAGTGCAAATAATCAGCAAATTCACGAGTGGCCAAGTTTCCGTGCCGGTGAGTGTATAAATCAAACTTCACTTTCCGACAGCCCACGATAATGTGTGTGCAGCTCCAGTCGACCTCTACGTCGTAGACTGTCCAGTGCCACCGGATGGCGCTTGCGTTCAGATTATTTAAAATAATCATTCCGGAAGTGCCGACTCGATTGCGATATATACTTTTACATTTTTGCTATTAAAAATACTTGGAAATAAACTGTAAAAACACCTCTGGATAATTATTTTAGTCAGTTTGTGGGTTTGAATCATTTCTGCTCAACACAGTCCATACTTTGATGTAATAATTTAAACTAGTCCAAGTATTAGGATGACCAACAATGTCCAAGAGTCCGGGGTCTCCATAATACTGGGTGAAATAGGCTTAGAAATATATGTAAAAAAATTGTAAGTTATTGAACTGAATGGAAAGTTCTCATTTTTGAAAATAAAAAAGTTTGCAATAAACAATAGCGAACTAGTCGCCTTTGAAGCTAATCACTACGTGATTTTAATTCTTTAGGCGATTTCTTTATTAGTCTGTTAGCAGTAGTCAATTGTGATGAAGAAATGGTTTTTCCTTCCCATTTCAGTCAAGAGAGTTGACACGGATTTTAATAAATTCCTTGTCCGCTAAAAAGACACAATAGTTAAAAACAGTTCCATACATTGCTAAACAAGTTTTTGAGAGTTTGATGAAACACTAATAAATATAGAAAAGTTCTGAGGAAATTAAATTAAATAGTATACTGTGACAAAAAATAGTACGAAAACATTGTTTCTTTCGATAATTGATAGAATCAGGCGTTACTTTGCGGAAATCCATTATACCTAATAAAAATATAAATTACTTCGCAACCTTCCGCTAGCTAAATACAATGATGTGTCTTACCTGGATTGAAGAGCACCTTCCGCCCTCCCTCAATTGCATGCACTAACTCCGTCACCACTAGTCCCAGCACCACTAGTATATGCGTGCGTGTATAAATAGTAGCTGTTTCGGCTCGCCGCTCTCTTAGCGGTCAGCCGCCGTAGAGTCTACATCACCTGAGGATGCCTCGTGTAGAGGCGAAACACATGTCGTATTATCGTCGATGGTGTGTCTTACCTGGAATAGTGGTGTTGGAAGTAGTGGTGCCGGGAGTAGTGGTGTTGGGAGTAGTGGTGCTGGGACTAGTGGTGACGGAGTTAGTGCATGCAATTGAGGGAGGGCGGGAGGTGCTCTTCAATCCAGGTAAAACACATCATTGTATTTAGCTAGTGGAAGGTTGCAAAGTAATTTATATTTTTATTATTGTTTCTTTCAATGTATTATAAAAATAAACAAAATTTAATATATTTTTTGTACATACAAGCAGAAAAGTAATGTAAATATAACCAGACTTGTCAATATAATTTTTATATGCATTTGTTTTTTATTTTATGCTTTCTTTGGCCAAAGACCTCCTTTAGTTTAGCAATGGATTTGTAGGCCAGACATTTTTATATTTACATTTGTAAATTCCATATTGGCAAGTGGAAGCTACTACACTTAATGGAAGGATGTAATGACAAACACGCAGTGATCATGGATGTAGGCGGGGAGGCCGAAAAGTTCAAGGGTTATTGAACAAAATATAGAAATTAGTTTTAGTAGGTTATTTATTTTCAATATAATAGCATTATAACTTAAAGAACTTTTATATTCTTAGTAAAGTGCTTTTAATCTTTCCAAATTGTTTGTTCTTCTTAAATTGTTTCCAAATTCTTTGAAATGTTCTTTAGACAGCAAATGTCAAATTCACAAGATAATGTAGTTGTATCTGCAGTATGTCCTCGGGGTATTTCTTTCATGTCATTGACTATTATGGCACATTCTGTATTTTAATTTAAATAAGCTTGAATGAGACAACAAATTTAAGCATAAGGTTTTTTTTACGTGGTAGGAGCCGTGCTGCAGCTATATTAATAGTTGTAGCACAAATGGGTAGGCTCAACTGGGGAAGGACTACGCTTCACAGTATAATTGTAAAATAACAGCTTAATGCTGCTGTGTTTTGTATGGTGAGTGTAGAGAACCGGAGACCCTTCTCACTGGAAACGAGGCATTCCATCTTAGTCCTCACGGGTGACAATGCATCTGCATTTTAATTCGTAATCGAGGATAGATGATGTGTATGAGCCACAGTAACTACTTAACTTCAGGTGGACTGTTTGCTTGTTTGTCTCCCTTATCCTATATTAAAAAAAAAGGTGAAGCACAAAGATTCAAATGTGTTGCTGCCTTTTTTACAGACTAAAACTTAAAAAAATATTATTAAAATTATTGGTTTTTAGTTTTGATTTTATTTAAAAAATTCCTTCTGTGTACAGGTTGTCGACAGGATGCGTAAGGAGCTGATGAGCGTCCCTGGAATATCGCGTGTGCTCTATGATCTGACGCCTAAGCCACCAGCTACTACCGAGTGGGAATGATCTCTTCAAATGCCTGTCTTTTATATATTTTTACTGAGCGAACGCACGCGAGGCAGTGGTCCCATTCTGTTCGTAATACTGAAGGTGATTTTATGTGATGGTGATAAACATGATACACTTAATATTGTTAACTATATTATAAATGTTAAATAAAATGGTAAAGGCATTTTTTTTAATGAATTGATTACTTTTCCTAGGATTTTATACAATTACTTTTAATACCTGTAACTGTAATTATTGTTATTAGAAAAATTGTAATTTATAAAACAATTATACTTCAGTTAAATAGATTTTTGCTTTTGTGTGTAAGTTTAGATTTGAAAAGAGCAGTAACTGTAGAAGAAGCTATAATTCTTTTTGTTTATGGTTTTGCTTAATTGGGATGACTGTATATAAATTTTATAGTAATGGGTTATGATAAGATAGGATCACTGCCTTCTAATGAATTTGTAAATACAATGATGTAACACGACACAAGGTATTGGTGTCACATGTTATTGTTAGCTCCACTGATCAGTTTTGTAACAACATAGTAATTTATTGTAAAAGGCTGTGTAAAAATTATGAGCCCGCAAATATTCTGCACCTCAAGATTGCAATAATTCTTGTAATAAATCGAAAACACATTAGTGTTTAATGGAATGGTTCAGTGTTATTGACTGGAAGTTTCATAATTAAAATTATATGCTTTATTTTCATTACGTTTTTTTATTTTATCCTTTAAATTCAATTCATACAAATCATAATCTAAATATACATAAATCACAAATAATTAAGGGCAGATTTTTCAATCATAGGATAAAAGTTATCCATTAAATAAATTACAACCTGGCTTAATATAAAAGTGAAATAATTGAATTATCTTATTTTTACAAAGGTAATTTTGAATTTATTTTGTATTATATTCTTTCAATAACTTTTATCTGGGAAATGAAAAATCGGCCCCAAGACACATTACAACATTCTGTTTTAACTGTCAGGGACCAATAAGTTAATATTTTTTCCAGTGCTCACTAGTCCACCAATAAAAGTTTCTTCTTCCCCTCTAATAGATAAAGCATCAGAGAGTGCAACTTTCTTTTCTCTCATCATTGGTGCCTTTTCCCATCGAGACCCACTGCAATTACTACATGAATGTAATGGAAGTAGTTCTAAGGAAACAGTCCTATTGCCACAATCGGCACACTTGAAGAACCTTTTAAATGTATCTAAAACTTTGAGAGGGTGCTTCTCATCTTTACACATTTGTGAAGCAGAGAATGCAGTATATTTGCATTTTGTACATCTTACAGCTTTACACGCTAACTTAAAAGTGTTTAACATTTTTTCTTCCATTGCCTCCTTCTTCTCAAGTTTGTTGAAGTACTTCTCTTGTTCATCATCTTCATGTTGTTGAATAAGGTTATGATGAGCTGAAGTTGCTTCAAGAATCTTTTTAAATCGTTCTGACATAGTAGGTTTAAGGTTTTTGTAGCTTTCTTCATTTGATTTAGCCTTTTTGCAAGAATTTTCATCACTACCCGAATTATTTAGTTTCTCTAACGCTCTCTTCTTTCCAGCGTTAGTACCTTTGATGTTATTGGGATCTATTTTAGTTATTCCACCACTTTTTTGAATAAGTTTTATTGCATTTAATTTTGTTCTCTCTGCGGCTTTCTGTCGATATGGCACACTTAAATCTATAATGCCAGTGCCCTGCAGTCCAAAGCCTTTACCTAGTTTTGGAGAGTTGGCAACTTTTTCAGCTAAATTTGAGCTGAATGTGCAGTTGGAATTTTGACCCGAATTCATTAAGTGATTCAATCTCACAGAATCAGTAATTTTCTGTGCTGATGGGCTGTGCAATATTCCAGAATTTCCTTTTAAAGGTCCTGCACCATATGGTGCTTTATTACTCATCAAATTACTACTCTCAGATTTATAATAGTCACTTAGAGACATCAATCTATTTTGGTCTTTATCTTTAGCTTTTTTATGATTGCTTGTTGGCAGAGCTGAATAGGCTTTGCCCCCATATATTACAGTACTCTTGCCTAGGACTTTGTTTTGGAGGTTAACTAGTCCTTTGCCCATCGTTGATGATTGTAACTCTTGACGTCTAGAGAATTTCTGATATTCTTGCTTAATATGATAAACACAATGTTCACATTTACTTAAATTAACAAATGCTGTGCATGGTTCACCATTTTTCTTTTTACTTTTACATATACCTAAATCTTTTGATTGACCAAGAATCATTATTTGGTTAGGGCTAGTTACACTAAGACATGCTTGGTCATTGCTGTTTTGTGATCTATCAAGAACGTTAGGATTTAAAATAGCTACAACAGTGCCCTCAGAGGTTTTCCACAAGTCATTATAAGCCTTTTGAAACAGAAACATTGAAACTGTTTTCATGTCATCTCTGAGATCACTGAGTGTCCAAATAATAAATTGATTGCCCTTTTGAGATTTTTTGGATGTGCTTTTTCTAACGATTACACCAGCTATTACCCAATCTTTACTCAAGTCTTCGTTTTCCACATACCTTTTTACTCTAAGCATATTCACAGCTTCTCTACCTTGCATTCTATCTAATAGCACAGTACTGGATACGAGTGGTTTTGAGATACGAATTCCAAAAACAGGATCTGTGTATATATCTGAGTAGGATTTGCTATTTGTTTCGGGAGCTCCGAAAATGTATTTCGTTTTTTTTTCTAAATTATCTTCAGGTTTCTTTGAAAACGAACTATTAGCAGCAACTTTTAAATCTAGATTAGCTTGACGTAGCCTAATTTCAAAGTTTAATCTGCTTTCGTTACGTTCCTGTTCTTTATTATCAAGGATTGTTTTCACTCCAGCCCCATAATCGTTGTATTTCCTATCCATGTAATTTCTTCTTTCTTCATCATCCGAGGAATCTGTGTCACCATTGTGAATAATAGACGTGTTTGAAGTCACATTATCTTCTGATTTACTTTCATTGTGACATTCATTTTCAAAAATATTTACTTCTTTAAAGTTTTGTGTATTATCACTTTTTTCATAGTTTTCATTTAAATCAGCACGCAGTAATTCTTCCAGTTGTGACAATTCATCGTTAGTTTCCATTATGTACAATGAAAATTATATCACATATCACATATGTATAAAATAAATAAGTATGTTTAATTCAACATTGGAGCACAAGTACAAGTTTAAATTATTGTAAGAAATCGATTTCCAGCTACCGTTTGGCGCGAAAATCTGCAATTGTAAACTTGTCAAGTGTCAAGTAATTGTTTTTTATATTTCACGGCAAAAGGATCTTTGCCCATAGAGCCTAAATTTGACATATTTTATTTACTTTCTTCACATTTCAATGTGCTTTATTATGGCATTTGACGGCAGCGGACGATAGTATCTCGAGCGAACTTAGCGGATAAAGTATTGAGACTTGTAATCACCATTGAAGAATTTGTTACATCGTTTTTACTAATATTTTACATACGCAGAAATTTAATACAAATCAATAAAATACAAAATCGCCCCATTTTTACGTATAAAAATCAACTAAAACAGAAGCAGCCATTCATTGCTGCTTGTCTTCATCTTAGCTTAAAAGCGGGAAATTAACGGCCGTCAGTTCACTGAATCAATTTCCCGCTAACGCTCTTTGTCATGTTTTCTAGTGTTAAGTAGGACATAAAAGAGGCAATACATTTGTCCCATACATGACGAAACAATTTAACAGAAACTGAACATTTTGACTTATACTACTTCAAATTTTATTTCACGTTATTCTTTAATCTTCACATGTGAATTATAGGCGGAGAGGAGAACGAGACATATGCTTCAATAATACTTTTTTATTCAACGGACATTTTCGTGCACACGAAACTATTAATTTTTAATATAAAAAAACATTATTTATTATTTATTCTTGATATATTTCATATTTACTCAAAGCAGGTTTTTTACAAATAGGTTGATTTACAAAAATATATTACAATAGAGGTTTCTTCATATTAAAAAACCAAACCGAAACCAGCCATTTTCCTCTGACACGAAGTTAGCTTTAACCGGGGAACCTAACCTATTTTAAATATATGTTTCTAAAGTATTCATATTAAAAACTTACCAATCATGAATTTTAATAACATGTATAATATGTTTTTATTCAAGTCATTATATTACTTTTATTTATTTATTTATTTATCATTCAGACTGCCATGTTTCGATTTGGTAAAGGACCAAAAGAATTTGGAATTAATGGCAATATTTTCTTCGGTGCGTTTTATATAGGTATTGTAGGCATCCAACGATAGTTTTTCACATCTTTTTCTACAAATATTCAGTTCTATTTTATCTAACGGATTGTTATGTTTTTTGTATCTATGTCTTATTTTATTTTTTTCGTGCAATGCCTTGATCAAACAAGAGCTAAACCATTTCGGATTTTTTTGTTTCGTTTTTTTACCATTGGAAAGTACTCTTTAACGATTTTATTAAGTTTATCATAGTATATTGTAACCATGTTGTCTTTCTTTTCTATTCCGAAAAAAATTTGGGACCAGTCGATTTCTACCAGTTTTCGGTTAATCATTTCATAGTCAGCCCTAAAAAGTTTCGACTAGTGAAGTTATAATTTTGTGCTAAGTTGTAATACTTTTTTGATTTTAAAAGTATTTCTAAGGGAGGATGCAGCACATCGATTGCAGACAAAACATCAGTTGCACGGTCTACTTGAACTAATAAATGCGATTGCTCCAAAAACGCTAGATCCAGGACTTTACCCTTACAATTAGGAATTTCATTGTACTGTTTAAAGTTATTCATACAAGCAAAATCAATTAGTGTCTGACATAGTATTGATTGAGTGGCAGAGGATGTATTATTTATTTCACTCCATTCTATTTGGCTTAAATTAAAATCACCTACAATCATTGGATATACATTATTTTCTACGTACTCTAAAATTTTATTACAATTTTCAGTAAATCTGTTTAGAATAACATGGTTAACAGGGGGTGGTAGGT